CACGTACTTTCCTGTTTGTTCTGTCAAGTGCCATATAGCTGACAAACCATGGATGAATCCAGAAATTAAAGTAATGATACGTAAACGTCAAGCGGCATTCAGTGATGGAAACACAACACTCTCTCGCCATTGGAGCAACAAAATAAAACGGGAGATTAAAGATGCCAAACGTGTATATTACTCAGAACGCTTCCAACATCTAAAGAAAAGTGACCCAGCTGGCTGGTACAGGGGAATACGAACTATGACTACTGGTAAACGACAAGGCATCAGCATTCGTATACCAGATGTGGACAGTGATGACCATGTTACCATTGCCAATAGAATTAATGGGCACTTTGTCAGTATTGCCAGTGACATACCCCGTTAGACAGAACCAAGTTACCGTCATACCTACCTGCGCGTCCATGTCCATTGCTAGAGCCATGGGAAGTATTCAAAGAACTCAAAGCAGTTAACCCTTCAAAGGCTTGTGGCCCTGACGGAATATCCGGGCGCCTGATAAAGGAGTTCGCATTGGAACTATGTGTGCCGCTGACAAAGATTATTAACTCATCTTATCAAAGCGGCCGTGTCCCCTTGCAATGGAAGCGAGCTACTGTTGTGCCAGTTCCGAAGTCAAAACCAGCTACCCTTGAGGCGATCCGCCCAATTTCACTTACGGACCAGTTCGCCAAAGTAGCTGAGAGCTATATTGCAAAATGGACAATGCAGGATATGAATTCGTACCTTGAACAACAGCAATTTGGAAACAGGAAAGGTCTATCTACTGTCCATTGTCTTGTTGACATCCTTCACCATCTATGTCTGAACTCGGACAAACCAAAAACAACATCCACGTTGATACTAACTGACTTCAGCAAAGCGTTCGATCGCATCGATCAAAACATAGCTGTAAAAAAGCTTTTGTCTCTCAATGTGAACCCATCTCTTGTCTTGTGGATATCAGACTTCCTGATGGGTAGACGTCAGTGTGTGAGGTACAACACAGCCATATCTGAATGGACTGAAATCTCTGCCGGTGTTCCCCAAGGCACAAAACTCGGCCCAATTGTGTTTTTAGCCATCATCAATGATGCTTCCTTAGATATTGTCGATCCCATTAGGAGGTACAAATATGTGGATGACCTCACTCTCCTGGAGTGTCGTGATCAAAGGAAGGACTCCAACATCCAAGCAGTCGTAACATCTTTGAGAGATTGGTCACTACGCAATCAAATGAGACTTAACCCCCAGAAATGTATATCTATGGAAGTGTGCTTCATGAGAGATGTGCCTCCACCATCAACTGTTGTCCTTGGAGATGGAGTGATAGCGCAACAGCAGAGTGTAAAACTCCTTGGAGTGTTCATTCAGCAGAACCTCAAGTGGGACCAACATGTAAATGAGATGCTGAGGAAAGCAAATGGAAAACTCCATATGCTTCGACTACTGAAGCATCACAACGTCCCCACAAGTGATCTCCTGACCGTCTTCAACAGTTATATAAGACCAACGGTTGAATACGCCGTCCCTGTTTGGAATCCAGGCCTCACCAAGGAACACGTCCGAAAACTTGAGAACATCCAGAAAAGGGCACTGAAAATCATCCTTGGACGTGAATTCACACATTATGATGACGCTCTCACCCTGCTGAATATTTGTACCCTTGTTGATCGACGCAAACAGATCTGTCTTCAATTTGCTAATGAGTTGAACAAACCAACAGGACCCTGCCATCACCTGATGCCTCAGGCACCGGAAACTGCCTTTCAAATGAGACTAAGAAAGAGAATGAAAGTCCCGCAAATAAAATTCAGAACAAACAGGCTCAGGGACAGCCCTATCCCATACTCAGTAAACATGTTAAATGAACTCTTAGTAAACATGTGAAGTGAACTCTAAATAAACATGTGAAATGAACTCTAAGTAAACGTAAACAAAATGTTGAATAATTTTTTCGCCTTCTTTTTCATGTAACTGACATGTAACTGTCAAAGGTCCCTTTAGCATGTTTAGTATCAGTATGTTTTGCGGTCGACACTCAGCCAGATTGTGCATTTGTGCATGCATGTGTGTGCACATGGGGGGGGGGGGTGGGATGAGTAATAGATACACTGTTATTTTCTGTGGAGGGAGGTTAACCAATATTCAGGCAATATGTTGTTCTTGTTTCTTTTTCTTTACTTTCCTTTCTTATTCTTCTTCCCCTTTTCTTATTCTCCTATTTTTATTCTTGTTCTCCTCCTTCTTTTTCTCCTGTTCCCCTTCTTCTTCATCTTCTTCCTACACCTTTTTTTTTTTTTTTTTACTTAACTTTCTTTACCGTATTTATCTATTAAAATTTAAACTCTAAACTTATATCCTACTACTCCACAGTATTATCATAATAACAATAATATCAATTTTTGAAACAGTCTGAATATATGCAATATGTTTTTGAATCTATATTTCCAAATGTATTTTAAACGTTTGTACAAATGTATTTATGTCATTTTTAAAAAGGAATATTTGTAAAATCATCGCAATTCGGCTATGCCGCAATGATGTTTTTCATTAATAAACCAGTTATCTATCTATCTATCTATCTATCTAATTGAAGGATTTGGTGTAGGCCTACACTACATTTTCAGGAAAAAAACTGTACGTTTTCAAAATAGCTGGGGTCAACTTCCCCCCCCCCCCCTGGTGCGTACGGCCATGGTCTTTTTTTTCCCTTTCCTTTTCTTTTCCCTTTTTCTTCCTTTTCTCTTCTTCTTCCTTTTTTCTTTCCTTTTCCTTTTTTCCTTTTTTCTCTTTCTTTCCTTTTTTTTCTTCTCTTTTCCTTTTTTCTTTTTCTTTTCTTTCCTTTCTTTTCTTTTTTTCCCCCTTTTTCATTTTTCCCCTGGAGCCCGTCAGGGGGGGGGGCACTCTGCCCCCTCCCCCCCATAGGTACGCCAGTGGGGGTGGGGTGTGCTGGGAACACGCATGTGCGTACCTTTAACAACACTGAGTGGAGGGGGGGGGGCAGGGTTGCATGTCAGACTTTCCTTTAGTGATATTAGGTGAGAACGCAATAATAGAACAGACACCTTGTGTACAAAGGGCATGATCATAAATTTCAAATTCCTGCACATGTTAACCCAAGTCTTCATACACTCCACCTGGGACCCAATCTGGCACTACTTTGAAACTTATCTCAACATTAACGACCCCCTTCATTAAAAAACTTTTAAAAAGTTCAACATTGCATCATTGATAGTATCAAAGGTAGGTGGGGAAACCACTTCATCAGCTTTATTGCGTAATTGTTTGTTTTTATTTCTGTCATATACAAATAATATACATTTTACATGAAAAGAAAATAACAAAAAATAATAACATTGATAAACTTATACATAATAAACAGTTTACATAAGCAGGAACATTACATGGCATTTTATTGGACAAACAACAATATTTAGAACAACGTATTAAACGTATTAAAAAAAAGCAGGGCACTAGACGACTGGATAGCCCAATTTCAGCTGCGCTTGGATAGTGCACCGGGTCTTCCATGGGGACCAGACAATCCTATGGGAGAAGTTGCGTGCTTGGTTTTTATTCCATTAACATGTACCGTGTGAGTCAAAAAAAGTTTACACCTAGAAAATTGCTAATTATTTTTAAAGTCATCTATGAACTGTAAATTATTATACATGTTATGAAAGAGTGTTTTATCCCAAATCTTTTGGTATCATTTTTGTGGGGTATGTGTTCACGCTTGAATTAACAGGAGGTATTTTTTGCACTGTATAGAGCACGTTCCTCTAACTGTACGCTCCTTTGCGTCTGTGAATGAATAATGTGAATGAAATGATACAGTGCGTCCCAGAAAAAACGAAACCGAGAAGTATCGATGTTCTATCATAACTAAATCACAACTATAATTAATGAATGATACATATTTGGAAAGCTTAGAGTCTCCTCTTTCATGTGATGCTACTCAGATGATGCATATTTCACGCATGAGTGATTAAAAGCAATTTGAAGGAAGGAAACCAAAAAGACATTTGGCGGGCGGTATCTGAATTTCGAAGAAAAATACACATTTCTAGAAAGTTGAGTTTCTGCCCTTTCATATGACACCTCAATCAGGAAAAATGAGGATTGACAAATTTCTGTTTGTTTAAAGTAGTGCTTGCATTTCCATAATTTTATTAAACGAATTCGTTTTCACCGGCTGCCTGCCGTATCAATAAACGAAATTAACAAAAGACTTAACTCCGTTTCGTTGACAATTAGCCGTAGACGAGAGTCTTCATGCATGGCTAATTGTCAACGAAACGGAGTTAAGTCTTTTGTTAATTTCGTTTATTGATACGGCAGGCAGCCGGTGAAAACGAATTCGTTTAATAAAATTATGGAAATGCAAGCACTACTTTAAACAAACAGAAATTTGTCAATCCTCATTTTTCCTGATTGAGGTGTCATATGAAAGGGCAGAAACTCAACTTTCTAGAAATGTGTATTTTTCTTCGAAATTCAGATACCGCCCGCCAAATGTCTTTTTGGTTTCCTTCCTTCAAATTACTTTTAATCACTCATGCGTGAAATATGCATCATCTGAGTAGCATCACATGAAAGAGGAGACTCTAAGCTTCCCAACTATGTATCATTCATTAATTATAGTTGTGATTAAGTTATGATAAAACATCGATACTTCTCGGTTTCGTTTTTTCTGGGACGCACTGTATAGTCAATAGTGTTCCTATTTCTGTGTTGTGCTTATCCATCAGAGCGCATAGGGGCATTACTGATCGACCCCACTTGGATATGAAAAGTATCGAACGTTATTCAACGTTTTTAAGTCAAGTTCACACGCGGAAGTTTGGATGTTCTTTATGACTGCTCCTCTTCAACAAACCAAAAAAGCTGCCAGTTAAGTAAGGAAGCACGAATTCTCGAATAATTTCGAGTCGCATAATTAGTCGTCTTCCGTTGAAGGAAAAATGACCGCCAAAACTATGCTTGCTTTTATGTGGTTTGCTACGCTGGTAATGATGAAAGCAAACGGGTTAAACTTGAGGTCTTCGGTTGTCCTGGACGATGGAGGATACGCCAATGTCGTCGTTGCTATTGACGAGTCGATACAAGAAAATATGGATTTACTCACATCTATACAGGTAAGTGTATTTATTGTTCTTTGGGTAAACTGGATCTACCTGTGTTTAGGCTCCAACGGCTCCAACGATTCTTTATATATTTTTTTCCTCTCCTGAAACTTCATGAAATTGTTTCCCTGATTTTGCGATTCTGCTAAGGCAAGCATTTTTATGGTTTACATCCCTCTAGATCTCATACCTCCCTATTTGTCAGTGCGCTGCCAGGTTTTCAAACATGTATAACAAATAATAGTTAAAACAAATACGTATACCAATTTAATTCAAGTTCTCGTGCCTTCAACTAACACCAGAGGAGTGTTATTGGTTTAAAAATTATTTGAATAATAGGTATCAGTATGTTGTGGTCAATGGTGTCCAATCTCAACGTAAACTTACTAAATATGGAATTCCGCAAGACTCTGTACTCGGGCCCCTCCTGTTCCTTGTTTATATAAATGATATAACACACACAATCTTCCAAATTATTTCGCTATTCATTATTTGCTGATGACACATGCATCTTAACTTCTCACAAGAATATCTATAATTTAATGTCCATTACTAATAAAGAAGTTAATAATTTATATGATTGGTTCTGTTGCAACAAACTCTCATTGAATTTTGACAAAAAAAAGTTTATGATTTTCAGAACAAGGAACAGGAGGGTCCCGAATGATCTTAATAATATTACTATTGGTGGTCATGATATATCACGTGTGGATAATGTTCAATTTTTAGGTATTACAGTCAACGAATTTCTCTCATGGAAACCGCATATTAGTAGTATCTGTACTAAAGTATCAAGATGTATAGGAATCATATCAAGGCTCAAATTTATATTACCACAAAACATACTTGTCACTTTATATTATAGTTTAATCTTGCCTCACCTAACATACTGTAACTCAGTATGGGGTCATACTTTCAAAAGCCATCTTTCTAGATTAATAATACTTCAGAAAAAAGCAATTAGACTTATTACATCATCCCCATATTACTGTCCGAGTATGCCATTATTTAAGAAAATGAATATTTTACTAATCTCTGAATTAATTTCTATGAACTCTCTTATTTTTATGTATAAATACCAGTCTGGATTTTTACCAGAAATATTTGAAAATATGTTCACCCTTAATTCGTCTGTACATAATTACAACACTCGTCAATGTAAATTATTTCATCAACCTAAGATTTCCACTTCCATAGCCTCAAACTCCTTCCGTGTAAAATATATTAAATTGTGGAACAACCTTGATCACAGTATTCAACAAAGCTCTACTCTGTCAAAATTCAAATTTTCTATAAAAAGACTGTATCTCACCAATATTAATACGTGCTAAGAAGATATATAAAATGTGTTAATTAATTCTAATTTTCTTCTCCTATTTCATGAGCTCTCTCCACTCCTACAATTTACTCTTTCTCTTTGCTTTTCACCATGCCTACTCATTCTAATTTTTTTCTTCTGCAATACTGACTCACCCCTCTCTCCTTCTCTCTCTCTCTCTCTTTCTCTTTCTCTTTCTCTTTTTCCTTCTCCCTATGTATTCCTTCCCTATGATATTTTACTATATCTCATCTATCTTATTGTGTGTGTATGCTAGTGTGTGTAAGCTAGGGTGTTTGTATGTCTGTGTGTGGACGTGTACCTGTATCTGTCTATTTATTGTAGCTGTTAAGATGATCACAGTTTCCTAATTTATATTTAATTTGCTGTTTTATCATTTTCGCAAATGTTTAGATATTTCTGTAACAAAGTTATGAATCTTATATTGTATACCGGGGCCCTGCTTACAAGCAACCTGCTTATTAAGGGTATCCCTCCATGTTTATGTTTATATTGTTATTTTAAAACAATGTGTCAATACTATGTTATATTTGTTCTTTTTTAAAGATGGAAAATGGGAAATTACATTTCCAGTGTTTATTTTGTATAATTTCATACTGCTCTGATGTATTGTAGTTAAGGCAAAAGCTTTGATTCCAAGGCCACTTCTTGAAAATTTAAGACCAAAGTTAAAGCTAAGGTGTAGATAAAGAAAGTTTTTACAGGAAATGAGTCCTAAAATGACTACCGTGTGATTAAAAAAAAAGGTTACACCTAGAAATTTGCTAATTATCTTAAAAATCATCTATTAACAGTAAATTATTACACATATTTTAAAAAGGTGTTTTATAATAGCTCACATTTATAATGCGCCTAATACTACGTTTCTAGGCGCGGAACATATTATTACCCCGGTCATCTGATTCAGGCTTAGCCGCACACAAGGTATGCACATTCTCCACTCCCTGGGGAGCATTCTAGCCAGTCGCCATTTTACAAGCGCCATTGCTAATCAAACCACATTAGCTTTCGCATCCTACCGGGTACCCATTTTAACACTTTGGTGGAAAGTGGCAAATGTAGATCAATGTCTTGCCAAAGGACATTAGTACCGTGGCGGGACTTGAACCGCGGACCTTGTGATCTACAGTCCGGTGACATATCCACTCGACCACGTGTGATTAATTTTTTTTTATAGTAATAATAATATTGGATTCTTATATAGCGCAAATCATTTGGTATATTTTTGTATAGGACTAGGTTCACACACACACACAAGGTAGAAATACAGAGGATCACAAAGAGAAAATGCACATTGCTGTTCTCATTTAGTTAGACAGGTTTCGTTTTCGTATCACTAAAACCCATGTCATCAAGTTTTCGATAGCATTTCCTAAAAACTCTATTACCATGTTTCTTTTCAAATAAAATTACCAATCCCGTAAACAATAATTATCAAGAGTAGTATACACAACTGAAGAGTTCTCCTAGCAGTAAATATTATAATACGTTAAACTAACACATTATTTGAAACTTTGGAAATAAATCAATTCCAATTTTTTGGTCCAATGGAATTTTTTCATTAAACTTTACAGAACATAATGTAATTTCTAATCACTTTCTGCCTTTTCACTCTCGCAAACGTTCATTTATTGCATTATTGTAGACTTCAAGCTTTATAAAATACACGAAGTACATTTTAACAATTTAATTGTATGAGTACTCGAAGCAGCCGTTTGCTAAAATACTGATGGAAAATAGCGCGTATAATTATTTAAATGTACTCGTATATAGACAATAATGAAGACACAAAAAAGTGATTTGTCAGCTTCTTTGAAACGGGGAGGGAAAGTAAACTGACTGGGAATACACCATCCACCACTTAAGGGAGAGACCTCTTCGACTTCTTCTTCATATTATTAAATTGAATTCTAATTCTAATTCGTTTTTATTTGTATAATTTAGGAAATCTATTACATAAAAGTTGTACAAGTCTTTAAAGGAGAGCATCTTCAAAGCAGCCAATTACAGAAAATGACATGTTTTGAAAGATAGAAAATCTGCCAATATCATTTATTTTATCATTTTTATGATATCACGAGGCACATCATTTTATTCGAACAATGTTGATTACATTTATAATTGTTATCTCTCTTAGGAAGTATTGAAATATAGTTAACACTATAGTCCTTCATTATTTCACATTTGTAGACAAGATAAAGTTGTTTTAAATCGAAATACTACGAGAATAAAACTGCTAAGGGGGGGGGGAATTGGTAATATCCTGCTTATAATGATGTCCTTTCTGCACAACTCTTGCGTTCGAAATCAGAATAGGAATAAATGTTAAAACGGCGCGCTCAGTATAAATTCGTACAATACTTTCGAGTTCGAAATCAATCACTATAACAATTCTTGATATAAAAAAGTGATTTTATGTCGTAAAGCAATGGTGATTCTTGATATCAAGAATTCATTTCTTGATATCAAGAATTCAATTCTTGATATCAAAAATTCAATTCTTGATATCAAGAATTAGGAATAAATGCTAAAACAGCTTGCCATACAGCCGATTCGTCTTTCGGCCACATTTGATACAGTCACGATAGTGGTCAATATCATGCGAGCAGATCAGTTATGCCACGGAGAATCATGAACAAACATTGTGCTAAAGCTGTACATAATTATACAGGTCTTAATATTTTGGAACAAATTAAAAAAAAATCATTAGGATCATACTATTAAACGTATATTTCTGTGTGTATGTTTAATTTGTTATATATTTCTTGACAGGACATGTTCAGAGAAGGATCCACGTTTCTCTACCAGGCTACTCGACAGCGAGTCTTCTTTAAAAACGTCACCATTCTCATACCATCCCACTGGACAACGCAACCGGAATATGGTTCTCCTGGTCGACTAACCTTTGACACGGCTGACGTCATCATTGCACAACCCAATCCACTTTGGGCGCCTGAGCCATACACTCAGCAGATCCAAGGGTGCGGACAACCTGGTTGTTTCATTCATTTCACAGAGGACTTAATTACTGATGATGATGATGTGACAGACACTTATGGAGAATTAGGTATTTTCTTTTTAATTTTCTATCTTTATATATTTTTGCTTTCCTTTAATTTTTTTGTGCATTGTTTTAATGATGTAGATATTCATTATACCGTGTGAGTCAAGAAAAAGTTTACACCTAGAAAATTGCTAATTATGTTTAAAATCATCTATGAACAGTAAATTATTATACATCTTATGAAAGAGTGTTTTATCCCAAATCATTTGGTACCATTTTTGTGTGGTATGCAAACAATGTCGCAAACAATGTCTCCTGTTCATCCAAGCGTGAACATATACCACACAAATATGATACCAAACGATTTGGGATAAAACACTCTTTCATAAGACATAATAACAGTTTAATGTTTATCGACAATTTTTTTAATAATTAGCAATTTTCTAGGTGTTAACTTTTTTTGACTTACACTGTAGTTGCTGTTACGAAACTCCTCCTAATGCTGATACAAGGTTGATCAAGGCTAATCTCATCAACAAAATCATTTGGGAGTTTACTATTCGAATAATTATTTGGGTGTTAACCCCATCAATTATCTGAGAATAAAGAAGTATTAGGATTTTCCAATGGATATATTTTAGATTCAAATATCAAAATGATCCGGCCGGACGTTATGATGCCGCGAGCCATGGCCACTGATGTTTCTTCTTTTCCTTCAAAGCTCATGGTCTAGACTCGGTAGGAGATCAATGATCTGATTTGTCTTACACCATCTAAATGCTCCTCAATAGGAATACCATTAAGCCAAACCCTAATCAGACTCTGTAAATCTAAAGCCAATTCTTTTTAATCCCCCCAAAAAGAAGATATATATATTTTACTAAAGGGATGAAACGGTAGGCCACAAATGCATGATAGGGTCATGATTTACAAGCCCTCGTCCTTAAAGATGAGCTTGAGTTCTGGTAATGATAGAAAATGAGTTCTCACAGAATCCAAAAGAACTTACACTGAATATTCAAGATTATAAATAAATTACATGTGCCAACCGATTTTGGTAGAAAACGTAAAGTGCCTGAGTAATGAGCATAGAAAGATATGGAAATCAAGGTAAGTAGGCCTGACACCATGTGCGTAACACAGGTCCCTATGTGCAAATGAGAGTTAGTGTGTGTGTTTTTTTTGTTTTATTGAAGATGATTTCCAGCAAGTGTTCGTGAGGTTTTATTTTACGGGTTCAAGCAATCAATCTACAGCAGGTCTGTGCAAGATAAACAAATTCCAGAATAAAGTATAGCCATGTTCTCTAAACATACGATGCCCATATCAGAGCTCAAGAATCGCTTTAACAACGCAATAATTTTTTCTTTCAATGTTACGGTGCATAGGTACATTGGGAATGATTATCACAAATATCATACGAAATGTTAACAATTAGACAAGTATCTCAGTCAAAGTTTGTTCATTATGATCATAGTTTAAAGTAGTTCAGGAGAGATAAACACGTTTCAAAGTGGGATTGTTCAAGAAGGCAATAATTTTCCCGGTTAGGGAACTGTCGAGAATCCTGGTCACGTTTCCTTTTCATACTCATTTTCAGAATAGCATGCGAGACAGAACAAATTCTTACAATGATAATCTGTAGGTGGAATGGTTTTCCGAAACAAAAGAAAAGGAAAAAAAGCAGCATAATTTTCAGAGCTTATCAACCTTACAATGGCATTAATCGCTGGAGTAGGGGAGAAGCAATGTTTTGTTGCGCTACACGATTACGGAACTTAGTTCTCGAATTGACTTCATAGCTGTTTTGTAGAATACCCAAGTGAATTACAACTACCTGTGAAAGAGAGTACTTTACGTAAACCTCACACGAAGAAATAACTTAAGTTATTCTGAGAGATTTGCCCATTAATCTATAACATTCCCCATCAAAGTGTACGAGAGAGGTATGAAGCAAAAATAATGTGCAGTTGCACGACATCGGCATCGCCATTTTCTTGATAACGTGACGTACTATTCGAAGTCGTGTATCAAGTAAATGTATTCAAATTCATGGATGCTTCCTTCGCAGGTGTGCGGATGATGAAGCATGGGCGTAAATCTGCAATTGATACCTATTGTTCAGGGGGGATGATCTATTCATTCATCCCCCTGAACAATAGGTATTACGTAAGGATTTACGCCCATGTGATGAAGCATTTCATTCACATGCTCCTATCCTTTGTACTGCAATTACCAGAACTTTAATGGCATAAATAAGCTGATGTTCTTCATGGGTGAAGTTGGAATGGACCGGTTTACTAACATATTCTAATTGTTTGCATACTTTTTAAACAAAGGATGTTCTTGACCACCTTAATTAAAAGCTTACCCGACGTATCAACAAGTAATTATGTAGACTGGCTTTCCAAGTACTGTAGTTAATTAATTAAATGGTTAATGGATAAATCGTCACTAGGTCTCCAGGGAAGAAACACCAATAAATTTGAATATGTTAGAAAAGTGGTCTGTTGCCTAATTACGTGTCTTTTCACTAATCTCCTGCAAAAATATATGCCAATGTTAAATACTAAATGTAATTGAACTCGCTCGTGCTTCCCATTTGTTAATAGTGACTTTTAGATTTGCGTGGACTGATACGTGTGACCTCCATTCAAGGCAGTGCATTACAAGGACGTCGAGCGTAGCAATCCACATTGTCTTCGTGCAAATCGAAAAGTCCCTAATGGTACACTATGACATATCTTGTTTGTCACTAACTTTTTAACAGGTCGAATCCTAGTACACGAATGGGGTCATTATCGTTGGGGGTTATTCAACGAGTATCCTGATGATGTAGGTGATGCTGATCACGTGACACATTTCTACCAATCAATGGAAGATATGCAAAGATGGAAGCCAGTTATGTAAGTAATTTCCTATCACAGTGTGTTAAAAAAGGATTTTGTTTTCTTATTTAATGAGAAGCGGGCTAACAGTGACCTTTATATACTTCGTACGTTAAGCGTTTTGGTTTTTGGTTAAGAAGTTTTGGTGTAATCATTATTTTTTCTAACATGAATTATACTTCTTCAATTTGGTCAATCACTTGATTGATTGTTTAAACTCAAACATTTGATATTGTGAATATTTGTACATTAAGGTAATTCTTTCCTTTTTTTAATTGAAGATAAATATGTCCTGTTCTAAATTATGACCAACAAATTTCACTACCAATCATGTTCGTAGACTGAGCTACAAGTATTCATATTTCTTCCAATTTCCATTTCTCTTACCATTATTTTGCAAGTTTTCAGTGTGATCTCTGTAATGATCTTACTCAAATTTGAAATTTGGATGTGCTTTGGTAATATCTTTGAATATTTGCTATATGTCATTATGCATATCATATTACTCGTCTGGTCATGATGATTCCAAAAATGTATAGTTTGCTATACCTCCGACCTTAAATGAGGGCGCTATGGTAAAAAATGTTGAAAGGTCAACACACTTTTGGCTGGTGATCAAATTCACCAACACAGTTAATCTTATCAAATTGCATATCAAATTACTTGTCTGGTCATAAGGATTCCAAAAATATATAGTTTGATATACCTCCGACCTTAAATGATGGCGCTATGGTCAAAAAGGTCAATGCACTTTAGAAATTCACCAACACAGTTAACATTGTCCGATTCTTATGATTTTAGGGTCTAATAATATGTTTTCTGACATGGCAAAGTCAACTATAAAACTTTCAAAAGTAAAAGTGCTTACCTTGACCATGTACATTCAAAATGGCTGCCGTTTCGGTGACAAACATCTAACAACTTCTTACCCATGGGTTTGGGGGAAATTTCAAGGTTATGGCAACTACTTTTGATTTTAAAAGTTGCTTAGTTTAATTTGTTATGTGAGAAAACATATTATTAGGCATAATGCGGTGGTCACATCCCGCCGTAAGTGCGTGCTGTCTACGTGCAAAAACGTGGGCAAATTTTGGGTATCCGTACGTGATGAGTACCGCCTCTGTACGGATTTGGAACAGACACACCGTAGCACTTTTAGTGCACGAGGAACTTTCGCTGCGTTCGGGCTGCGTTCGGGCTGCCTTCGGGCTACCGATTCACCCCAGTGCGTGTGACGTGCGTGCCTGGTACTGCCAACGAGCGCACAACGCACTAACTCCGTGCGTCTTTTAAAGGCGCACGTGATAAGTACGTGGTCCGTGCTTACTCGCCACTCCCCCACTTCAGCTATCCAATGAGCACGCAGAACTCACGTGGACCATACCGAATAAGTACTTACAATGCACGTTGTTCGCACTGATTTATGCATTATATAGTTTCTTCGGTGGAATGGGCGGCATCTTGAGGCAGCAACAGCTGGGACTTCTGGAGAACGTCGGAATGTCGTCCTATATTAACACCGAGTTCATCGCACGTGCACGCACTTACAACATGCGAGTGAGTAAGGACACCGTACGTGAGCAGCACTTGTAAGTACGGCCTCCGTACGATAACGCGGCAACCGCAAGGAGACCGTACGTTGTAAGCACGTTGTAAGCACGTACACGCACGTACACGCAACCGTTCACGGCCAGGCGTGGCGTGCGGGCCACGTACTTACACAGTGCGTGTGACGCGCGTTGCCGGTACTCCCTCCCTGCCTTTGCCACTCCCTCCCTACGTTTTCAGAAAAACGTGGCGGCCGTGGCCTCCCCCCAAAACCGTACGGACTAAAAACACGCACGGTGGGATGTGACCAACGCTTTAGTTACGCTGTTCGGTGGAAGGTCTTGTTAACTTATTACTCGTGGCAAGTTGGTCCTAGTAAGAACGTGTGGACAACTATATTGGTGTAAGTGAAAAGGATTAATTTACACCGACTAGCAAAACCCCGTCTCAATAAGGATATTATTCTAAGTTACATCATGAACGCATATACACATAATAGTAAACCGAAAGAGATAACGAAACCATAATTTCCTCTGAGCTTAAAGAGAGAGAGAGAGAGCGAGAGAGAGAGAGAGAGAGAGAGAGAGAGAGAGAGAAAGGGTGGGGTAGGGGTGTGTAGATCAGTAGCTGCCATAAAGATGGAAAGATTCTGGTTGAAAATTGGATAGAATTGAATTTAGTCCAAGCCGAAATATAACCCCAAAATGGATGTGACTTCATTACTTCTCGTTTTCTTATTTGCAGTTGCTCTCAGGAATACGAAGTGTCGCCAACAAGAATAGTTCAAAAAGGGAAACTGATGTTTTATGGAACATGCAGTGGTAACTCAGCGATAGGATACGAAACGGGATGCATAGTCCGCATCACAGGAGCGGATCAAGCAAGTGGATCTATAATGAACGGTCCACTAACATATTCTAACGTAAGAATCATTTTCTACTAAGATTCAAACCCGATGCTGTGTATTGGTTTTCGTCAAGAATCGGGTTTGACAAAAGAAGTCTAGTTGACCGATTATAAAACTTAATCTGAGACACAGGGTCCGTTAAAGTGAGCAGTAGAATCCAGACCCATGTGTGAGTTTAGGGATATTTTCTCGTACAAGACCTATCCCATGTTGTGTCTGAAAACAACAGGTGTTATGATGGTACTCAGTTTCCTTTTAGTTAGTTACGTCAGCCCGTTTGTTTTTCTCGCGCGCTTTGATCCTTTAGCTATAGTTTATATTGTCTGATTTCCGCTTTCTTTTCTTTCTTACTCAAATGAGTGGAAGATGGAAATTTTAGGATGCCCGTATTCGTTGTTATTCTTTATATCTGTGATGATAATGATGAGGATGATGAGGATAATAATGATGATAATGGTTGTGGTACTAATGATAATGATTTCATAACTAGCTACGACACTCTTGGAGATGATGATGGCATTAAGAATGTGCATACTGTTTATAAGATTAAATAATGATGGTGCTTGTATATGTGATGATCAACACATTTTATCACATTTTCTTACGTACTGATTTACTGGCACACAAATATATTAGGAACAAACACACAAGAAATCTCCTCCTATAAGCTCGAAAAACGAAACCAAACGATAAAAAAAAGACAATTGTGATATTTCAAGAGTGCAGTTAAGGGAGGATGGGCCACATTTCTTTTTTGTTTATCACTTGGGCTTAACAAAGGAGGCGCGGGCCGGTTATATCCCCTCCCTAAATCGATAGGTGCCATGTACTCATGTTGCGTGCTGAAGCCTCTTTTTTCGTTTACCATGTCCTCTCCTATTTTATTTTGTTTCTCCTCCTGCTTCTTTCTCATAAATATGAATGCTTTCTCTGCTCACTGTTCTGATATCTTTCGCCATTCTATTTAGATCGTTAATTTCTGCGACGATGATGTTAACGGTATCGGCAATCTTCATAACCGAGAAGCGCCTAATAAACACAATCGACTTTGTAACTCAAGAAGTGCATGGGAAGTCATGAGGGAACATGAAGATTTCAACGGTTTGTTAGCATATTCTATACATTTTTTTTTTACAGAATAAATTTTTGTCTCTTCATTAATATTGCAAGTTCTGTTTTGTCTTTTTTTTTTTTTTTTGCTCGCGTTTTTGTCTACTTTATTTAAATTTTCATGGACTGATTATGTGACTAATTTCAATAATGCATGTAGAAATCAATTAAGTAGGAAAGTCGTTAATTTTAGGTGAACTATTTATATATAAATATTGTATTGGCAAGGAATACGGCTGGCTGGCATTACGTCTAATTTTCAGCAGATTTCGCGCGCTTTGTTTCTTTAGCTTCCGTTTATATTATCTGTTTTTGCTTCTAATTCAAGTTATAAATACATACATACATATTGGTATTTATATAGCGCCTTTACATGAACATGCTCAAGGCGTATACATTGTTGTTTACCACCTTGGTTGAACCTTTAGGCTAAGGATAACAATGGGGCATTGCCCTTGTATGGTAAAAGATATATTTGCCAAACTACATCCAAATGAAACGGTTTTGATTAATATATGAAACCGAATGAATTTTTATCTCCGTATTTTCTTTCTTAAAAAACATAAAGCTGTAAAAATTCCAAAACTCTCCACGCTTTCCTTCTTCTTGATATCATATCAACTGCTGCGATTATTCTGCTGTAATAAGACACCCCAAAGGCCCTACCCAATTAACAGTGGTCTTATTATGATTACTCCTGCAGACAATTCTCCCCCATCGAACCTGAATGATGCCCAGATCGAGCCCAGTTTTGACTTGGTACAAGCAAGCACCGGAGATGAGTGCCGAGTTGTCCTTGTTTTGGACACTTCAGGTAGTATGGGGGTATGTATGAATTCATAGCATTAACAAAAATAAAAGAATTTTCAACACTGAAGTTAATCTAGTACCGATAATTTTTCCACAGACATCGGGAGCAGGAACATAGGGTTTTGGTTACGTTTAGGATTTAGGATTTTGGGTTATTTAAGGTTAGAATTAGGAATAAAATTCAATTCGATGAGCAAGTCGATTGCTCTTTGCTCTTATCGATCGCGTAACTAGATTTTTCACTCGCCATCCTAATATGAAAAACATTGGCGTGCGGCACCGGTCTTTCTGGATGTATGACTAAAATGACGATTAAAGAAGCAAGTGTATTGATAGAGGAGTGAAAAGGGGTCACTTAATCTTTTTTGAACGCCCCACCCCCTAGCTTTTCAAAAAATATTTTTGCATGTGCCCCCTGCAGCTACAATACTATTCCACTGTGTACCAGCGGTATTCTACCGCTGAGATTGTGAGTGTGTTTGTGTGCGGGTGTTTTAAAAAAAAATGATTAACTCTTTTATTTATGTTATTAGCATTATTATTAGTAGTAGTATTATCATTGCCATCTGTTTTGTTGTCCTTGTGATTGTTTCTCATAGCTGTATGTATGCGATATTTTATCATTCATTTGGATGGATGCTTTAATACACAGACATCCAATCGAATCGACAAAGTGAACAGTGCCGCCACTGCCTTTGTCAACCTCGTGGATGACGGGATATCGATTGGTATAGTAACTTTCACTGGCTCCCCGACCACACGACATGCATTGACACAGATCAATACTCAGGCTGATAGAGACTCACTGCGTGATATTTTTCAACTTACTGCCAGTGGAGGGACCTGCATCGGGTGTGGACTTGAACAAGGTTTAGAGGTAAGATTCTCCGAAATAAGTAAACAGCTTACTCCAAAATTCTGAAATGAAGTGGCATCCTCTCCGATAGCCACTGTATTTGTGTGTCGGCAAACCTGTATTCGATCTGTGAAGCACTTACTAACAAATTAGATGTATTTATATCCTGCATCAAAAATTTGTTGGTTTATGATTGGTTGAGAGCTCGTCACATGACCAGAAATTTTGAAATATTTTAAGAAAGTACTATAGAGTACTATTTGGGAGTTAAAAATAGTGTATTTTTTTTTGTAAATTGATTTTTTTTCTTCTCCCAAATCTTAATTTAATGAAAACAAAATATTTTAAATCTTTTTTGATAAAAATTGATTTTTTTTTTTGTTCTAATTTTTTTTTCTTCTCAAAAATGTTGTTGTTGCTGTTTAAAAAAAAAAAAAAAATGTTTGATGCCTCGGTGACTCAAAAAATACCATTTGCTTCGGGGCTACGCCCCTCAGAAAATAGTACTATTGGAGTCACCTCTTGCGCATAGTTTTAACCAGAACCTCTCAAGACAGTGTATATTTGTATACTATTATAATTATTGTTACAAATAATACTATTACTACAACTATTTATTGCTATTGATTTAATTATTCATTTATTTATTCATTTATATATTTTGATTATTGCCTAAAGGTTTTAATGGCTCACCCTTCTGGAAGTGCCGATGGTGGAATAATCGTGCTGATGACGGATGGGCAGGATAGTGGGATACAAAATCACATTATCCGTCAAACGTTACAAGATATGGGTGTGAGGGTCAATACAGTGGCTATTGGAGAGGATGCATATGGTGAACTCAGTCTGATTGCACAGGAAACAGGTAAATAAAAATTAAAATGAATACCGAGAGAAATGTTATACTAATGTACCTAAGGTTCTAGGACACCTGTCCCCTGGACACCCACCCCCGGATAACCACCCCCAGTCAACTTCCCCTAGGACAACTACCCCCTAGGACAACTACCTCCTAGGAAAACCACCGACCGGAAAACTACACCCAGAAAACTACCCCCTACGACAACCATCCTCTAGAAAACTATCCTAGGGGGTAGTTGTCCGGGGTAGTTGTCCAGGGGGTAGTTGTCCGAGAGGTAGTTGTCTTGGGGAGTTGTCCGGGGTAGTTGTCCCGGGGGGTAGTCGTCCTAGAGGATGGTTGCCCTAGGGGTAGTTGTCATAGGGGGTAGTTGAATTTGGGTGGTTATCCAGGAGGTGGATGTCCAGGGGTAGATGTCCGGGTACGGTACCTGTGCCTTAGGGGCATACACCAAACAAACATCGCATTTTTAGCACGCATCTCCATCCGTATCGATTTAAAAAAAAGAGGTTTTTCCATATTTCTATTTTGTCCAATAATTTATCAAATCGTTCTTTGTCAGTAATTGAATATATATGTTTCATTCATAAGCTTACATTGAACGAAAACAAAGGCGTAGATCAATCGGAAATCCCCATCGCTGCCCTCAAAGTCTTGAATTTTACATAGCGGTTGGCAAGATGTCCACTAGGAATCGAATCGAATCCGATTTCCCGTCAAAGAATACCATTGTCTTTATCACTAGGTTAAGAGGTGTTGGGGGTCCGGTGGATAAGTCTCCGGACTGTAGATCCCATGGTACGGGGTTAAAATCCCTGTCGCAGCACTATTGTCCTTTGTCAAGACAATAATCTGCATTTTCTAAACTCAACCCAGGTCAGGTAAATGGGTACTCGGCGGGAACTTATTTCTTAAAATGCTCGAGCGCTGTAATGGCAGCCGTGCTTAAGCCTTGGTAAGGGAGCGCCAGGAGTGACAATGTGCCACACATGAACTTTATACAAGATTTTAATATTAGTATTATTATTATTAATGTTGTAATCGGTATTATTATCCTTATTTATATTATAATCCTTATTTATATTATAATGCTTATTTATATTATAATAATTGTTTATAAATATTATTATAATAAATTTGTTCATAAAATATTCATTAGGAGCCAGATTCAATCGACCGACGGATTGAAAAACCTTCAACCTTTCTAATTACACACTTACTTTTATACTTACACACTACAGGACAATTATTATATTTTCCGCTATGTAAATTGCAGGAGGGACGGCTATATTTTATCCCGATAACGGCGATTCAGACATCATTAGTGCTCTAACACAGACAGTAGAGATGTGTACAGCAGTAAACAACCTCCGTGTTCAGGTATGTCTTAGCATGTTCATCTTTGAAGAGCTTTTATTGTTGAGTATTATAAACACTGGTAACATGTATCGTATGTGGGTGATCAGTCACTTGTATAGTTTGTGGGTTTAAGCACGGACAAGACATTATTTTCTACAATTCATTGCTTTTGTCCACTCATATGTTCTTATAGGATTCGAACTAAGGGAATATTATATGAATGGCAGTAAATTTGCAAATGGTTTGAATATTCCTTAGTGGAGTAGAGAAAGAGAGTGCACTGTATGTGCAGAATCGTAATTTAACCAAATGACCTTATTACTAATATGGTCATTTGAACCTGTACCCAGTGGCGTATGCAGAATTTTTTCAAGGGGGGGGGGGGGTTTAACATTTTGAAATCGGGCCGAAAATTTCGCAACGACTCAGCCAACCGCTGAATAAGCGGGGGGGGGGGGGGGGGGGGGGGGGGGAGGGGGAGGGGTAAAAGGACACTTTTTTTCTTTTTTGGTCCAAAAAAATCGCAACGACTCAGCCAGCCGCTGAATAAGCGGGGGGGGGGGGGGGGGGGGGAAAGGACAATTGTTTAGGTCAGCCATGGGCATAATTATTATTATTATTTTTTTTTATAATTAAAAAAAAACACACAAAAACAAAGCGGGGGGGGTTTCGGTTTTTTTTTTTTTTTATTTTTTTTAAATACGCATATAAATAATACCAAGGAGGGGGGGGGGGGGGAGGGGTTTAACCCCCTAACCCCCCTGCCTACGCGTCTGCCTGTACCTGTGTGTGTATACCTGTACCTTTAGGGCGCCGCAATTTATATTGAAAGATTGAAAGATTTCTCTTCTCTTAGTTATTATATCATGCTTAAACATTTATTGGTTTTTGATTGGTTGAGAGCTCGTCACGTGAACAGAAATATTTCAACTAGTTTAGGGTTGCTCTGAAAAAATACTATATGAGAGTACTATTTGGGAGTACTATTTGAATTGATTTTTTTTTTATACATTTTGATTTAATGAACACAAAATATTTTAAATCTTTTCAGATAAAGATTGAAATTTTTTGTTGTTCTAAATTTAATTTTTTCCCCAAAATTGTATTTTTTTATTATTTTTAATTTAAATATATTTTTTTGATGCAGGATATAAAATAAATATACCATGCCTTCTATTCCAGGTCTTGTTAAAACTAATGGTGACTCCAAAAGTACTATTGGAGTCACCTCTTGCGCATAGTTTTAACCAGAAGCTCTCAGGACAGTGTATATTTGTATATTATTCATAGGTCGGTTTGTGTCAATTAATCGGGCACTTACGAACCAACTTTCGATATCCTCCAAGTTTGTTTTTTTCCAACTAGAAACGCGAATTGAATTTGTGTTCATGAGTATTAACTGTTTTGTATAAATAAATACTTTACTTGTTTTAATGATGTTTCTTGTATAGTTGGTAAGTGAGGGCATTACACTTGATGGCGGAGATACTCAAAATGGTTGTCTTTACTTTGATTCCTCAATTGGCAACGGGACGCAGTTTATTGTGACGTACACTATGTCTTCATCCGCAACCATACCAGGTATATTTTGCTGTATTTGCTGTTAGTTTGTTCGATAATAGTAATTTGAAAGAGGGAATAATAAGATCTCGATAAATATTTTTGCTTTGAGAGAGGGCTCAAATTGCTCGCCGTGTGCTTCGCTATGATCATTGTATATTTAAAAAGAAAACCATGATTAACTATCTTAAATACATTTACAGCAAGCAGTAAACCTATCGATATAGCGTGAACTGTATTGTCAAAAGGGGTTATATGTTACCTTTAAATGTTATAATAAGAAATCTTTTTATTTGAGCGGTGCGATCAATGAATTTTAAATAGAAGAATTCGATTTCAGTCATATATAATCAGATTCTCAGCATTCTCTAAGTACACCACACGCGCCATAATTATCTCGCATTCACTCAACTTTAACTCTCACCGCAACGAAAATCGTTGGCACATCTGGAAATTACTCAGCTTGCTTGATCATGCTGATGAATTTTCCTATTGAGGTGGTTCGCCTGAAGATACTAGAGGTGCGTGCATTACGTAAGACGTAATGGTTGTAATACTGAATAACATATTATCCACTGATAATACCCGAATGTTGTGTAAACACCCGAATGGTGTCAAATTTGTCACAAGTACCATCGACTGTGTGTCTTTGAGATAGAATATATTTTGAATATCATTATAGGTGTCAATGTGGAAATCACACAACCAAATAATGCAACAATAACGAGTGGCAACCAGCAGTACACTGTCGACACAACCAGAAAAGTCGTCACCGTGGCTGTCGACGGCCTAGCCATGGTAATGATGTTTCTAAGTCAGTCTTGTGAAGATAGCTCTAAATGATGAAACAGACTTGCGAAAGTTGAAATGAAATTGAATATGAATTTTAAAGTTGTAATTCACATGGTATTTTCAAATAAACGAATAACTAATGTCGCTGAGATTTGCCTCCAACGCATACTCACCCTTTCACAAATGTCTCAACAATTGTAGGAAAGGCAGACAATTCAACATAACCATTTTGCAAATACATTTGATCGAATACTAAGACTAACGAATGTAACTCCAGAAGGGGACAATGTAGCCCCTACCTACATTATTTAGAATAGAAGAAGACGGGCGACTCGCTTTTTATACTGACTTTCATGAATGTTCTCTTTTTTACTTCGTAGAGTGGCAAATGGTTGTACTCCATAAAGAATGCGGTTACAGGATCTCAGTCTGTGACTTTTTCTGTGTATTCGAGGATCAATATGCTAGAAGAGGAAGAGCCAATCGTCGTCAAATCAACCGTCGGTAATTCAGTTATGGATCTATCTTCAAGGTTTGAGCCCCTGGTTGCCTATGCACAAATTAGACAAGGTTCACGACCTGTCGTAAATGCAGTTGTCCGTGCTGTCGTTGAAAAACCTGGTGGTTCTCCTGCAGATATCATAGAGCTTCGGGACGATGGTGCAGGTATGGAAAGAATTACAAATAAAGTGGATTTTGGGGGTGATAAATAAATCTGTATCTCCTCGATGCATGAGAATGTTTACAAACTATCCTCAGAATCTGAATCTGTAAGTTTGGTTAACACAAATCCAGTTACGGAGTAACGTGCGAGGTCTACCCATCCCCCTTGCCGCGATGAAACGCCAAAAGAGGCAAAATCACATTTGTATTTTAGCTCGCTGGCTAATAGGCGGATGATAAAGTCATTCCTTTTTTAACATATTATTTTATCTTACAATTGTTTTAGTTAACTAAAAACAGAATTAGTGATATTTCTTTACACGACAAACGGGAGAGGTGTCTATGACTCCTTTACAATCTACTGACCTTATTGCATATTTTATTCTTATAGTTTTTTTGATCGTATATTTCAAACGTTAAAAACTCCTCTATAATTGGTCCTTATTTTTTCAAACTTTCCTTTTCTCTTATTTCTCTGCTTTCATACAAATAACCTTTCACAAAGGTCGGATTGCCCTTAAACTCTGCAGCTCTAATGAATACTAGATTACTAACTATTCTATTTTCATTTTTTCCTTTTGTTTTTGACACAGGAGCCGACATAACGGCAAATGATGGCATCTACTCTCGTTTCTTTACAAATATACGTGGGACAGGGTTCTACGGCATTCGTACCACCTATGAGAACGATGGATCAGCGATTATTTTGACCAGGGCTCGAACAGGGATATCTAGGGTTCAAGCCGCCATTAGAGTGACAGATGATGGGATGATAATTTCTCCAGGAAATATTGGTAGCATAATATAGAATAAACTCAGGGGAGAAAATTTGTTGAAAAATATATACAGAGAATGTTTTACTTTTCTTTTTTTTCCCCCTTCTTTCAATTCAGTTTTTTATAAATACATTTTGAGAAGCCCATTAGTAGTCGATAATACGTGATATTCTAAGTCGTGGTATGTGTATTTTTATAATTGCATTTAAAATATTTTTGTTAAGGTCTTAATGTGGTTCAAAATGTGATTCTGTCATGTAACAATAACTATAACTTCCTTCAAATAACAATTAACTAGCATATCCTTTCAAATGATGAAATCATATGAAGAATACGTTCTGCCAAACCTTTCGCCCCTTCTGAGAACATGTTGTTTTTTAGGTTCAACTTTCTCTATTTCATTTGTAATCGCCTGGATATATTTTCGTTCCTAAAAATAGGATAAATAAGAGGAAAATTATATATATCCATTAAAAGTTTCTAGCACCAAATGGATAACCCAATTTATTACAATCACTATTTAAAGGTACTATGTCCCACTTGCAGGCCCAAAAAATGAAAAAGTTAAATTCCAACTGCATTTGAAAGATAATACTAATTTAGAACTTCCCTAAAAAAAGGTGGGACTTGAAAATGTCTCCAAGTGGGAAAATAACGACTATTAGTTGTCAAATCGACTTTAGGGCTATAGAGCCCCAAAGTAATAGTCTTGATTTTCAGACAATTGTACCGAATGGTCATACGTTTTATGCTGCGCAAAGATTCAATCAGTTTAATCTTGGCCATCACAAGAAGTGGGTTATTGATGTAGACAAATGCTCATGTACCCTTTACAACTCTTTTCATGTATGTTATTACCAAAGAAGAAAAAAGCCAGTCAGTCACTCAATAGTGTCTGACAGTGAAGTCTAGCAAGTAAACGGGTTTCCTTGCATAATTTGAATATGAGGACACTGCTAACGTTTAAATTTCACAGATAGGACATACATGACATATTCATAATTCCTGCAAAGTTCTACATAATTTGAGGTTGGCTGCAAAAGGGACATACTTAGTACCTTTAATAGGCAGCGATGGATGTACATACACCTCTCGCTAATTCAAATTCACAACGGCACATGTGCTCGAGGCAACCAGAATTTCATAGCCATTCGTAAAACTCGTTTCAGGCTCATACGAAGTACGGCTTCCTGGAGTCGATTCAAACCAAACCTTGCAAGGGAAGCCTGCACCATCTTTTACCAGGAGTTCATCGGCGGGTTCAACTACGATTACAAACCTTCCTGATGGATTCACTCTAGACCAGGACTTGTTCCCACCTAACAGAGTCCAAGACCTACGGGTGACAAGAACTCATGTGGGGAATCAAACTTTAGTCCTGTCTTGGATAGCTCCAGGTGATGATCTAGACACAGGAACTGGTAAGGTTGATTTTATCAACAATAATACGCCGATAGAACTAAAGCTATGTCATCATATTATAAACAAATAATTCTTCTCATACGTATGACGTGTGCAGCTAAAGTGTCAGTGGAGAGACATGCAAGGGTGTCATCCTTAAATGGAACGCCACCAATGAGAATAATTAAAGACAGATATTTGGTCTACTCTTCAGGACAATTTTGAATAGATAGTATCCGCATATAGATAACATTATGAACAATAAAGACTTTATCACCATCATTACATCAACAGCTACGTCGTACGACATCAGGATGGGTAACTCCTCCAGGCAACTCCTGGATGATTTCAGCAACGCAACCCGAGTTAGTTCATCCAGTATCCTAATTGGCAACTTAACATCACCTAGCCCATCTGGATCATTGGAAACCTTCGTCATTATGGTCCCTGACATGCCCGAGTTGAACTCCTTCTCGTACATCTTTGCCCTCCGCGCGACAGATGATGACGGGAAGACAAGCCAGGTATCGAATGTTGCCATAGCAACGTTCAGACGTGTTGTACCCACTGCACCGCCTCCTGATCCTTGCAATGGTATAACGTGTCTGAATGGTGGAGAGTTAGAAGAATCCAATTGCACCTGCTTATGCACAGAGGACTTCCAAGGAAATCTCTGTCAACGTACATGTATGTGGACCACTTTTAGACTATATGATGAGTTTATTCGTGTATAAAGTTCATCGTTGTTGCAACTTCTCTTCTCTCTCAACATTAGTATTGTTCTTGATCATTGTAGTATCGACAACATGCACAAATTAATATGTAATTAAGACATAGTATCAAAATGGTATTAACATCATGTAAGCGAATTCATTTCTAATTCACCACTGTAGTAACATGTTACATTCATCTTATCTTCATTCCATTTCATGTGACACATTAGAGCCATCTAAACCTTTTATGATATATATACATTTAATATATATATATATGTATATATATATATATATATATATATACAGTGTATATATATATATATATAAAATCAGCCCCACTCTCTCAAAGGTACTATGTTCCATGAAAGTTAATTCTAATTTAGAACTTCACCCAAAACGAAAGGGCTTAAAAATGGCTTTTAGTGGGAAAATAACGACCATTATTTGTCAAATCGACTTAAGTAATTGCAATCACTTAAGTAATAATCTGATTTTCAGATCCTATTAACGAATGGTCGTACGCTTTGTGCTGCACAAAGATTCAATCAGTTTAATTTTGGCCATTACAAGTAGTGGGTTATTTAAGTAGACAAATGCTCATGTACCTGTTAAAGCTTATGTTTATGTATGCTATTACCAAAGAAAAAATAGATGTCAGTCAGTCACTCAATAGTGTCTGACAGTGGAGTCTAGAAAGTAAACGGTTTTCCTTGCATAGTTTGAATACTAGGACACTGCTCACGTTTAAATTTCACAGATAAGACATAGTTCCTGCAAATTGCTACAGAATTTGATGTTGGCTGCAAAAGGGACATAATAAATAATTCGGGCCAATATCTTAAAGCAACGAGAATCAAGGTAATGTACAATGTAAAAGTATATACACATAGACTGGGGCGATGCCCCCTCTCTCGACGCTCTTCCTTACATCTTTGGGTGTTATCTATAGCTATTGTTGAAATACACACTTTTACCCCTTATGTAATAAGCTGAAATGCAAAATTCGAAATAAACCAATATTTTGTCAGTTTTAAAAGTAGTCTCTGTAATCAAGAACAAAAATAGTTGAAAACCAGTAGTTGTAGTACAGTATCTATAATTATCAGTCTGATTATTTCCATCTCATTTTCATATGAAGGTGCTAATTGCTCTGTCGGGGAACTACCAGATCACCTCATATCGCTGATTAATGGCACATGCGAGACCAATGCTAGTGTATCATGTAATACAGTGTGCATGTTTGAGTGTGACGCAGGATACACCATCACTCACAATGAATCCATCATCTGTAAAACAGGAATGTTTGCACCTGGCATTCCATGGTGCAATGGTAAGATTTCTAATATAATGTCTCAATGGGATATGTGAAGAAGGCTATACGACCCCCTCCCCATCCAAAGAAAGGAAGAGGGGGAAAGAGAGCGAAAGAGAGAGAGAGAGAGAGAGAGAGGGGGGGGGAGGGGGGGGGGAAGGATTACTCGATATGAGAAGAAGGTTATTCGACTATTTGTCTTTTCGTGGATTTTTGATACCGACGGTTTCCATGACACCAGTGAGACACTTATACCTGAACCCATGCTACACCACTATTTACGGTTCTAGGACACCGACCACCTGGACATCCGCCCTCGGATAACCACCCCTAAGCAACTACCCCCTAGGACATCTTCCCCGAGGACGACTACCCCCAGACAACTACCCCCTAGGACATCTACCCCCGGAGAACTATCCCCGGGACAACTACCCCGGACAACTATCCCTCAGGACATCTACCCCCTGACGAATACCCCCGGATGAGTACACCCAGAGAACTTCTTCCTACGACAACCATCCGCTAGGACAACTACCCCCAGACAACTATCATAGGGGGCAGTTGTCCTAGTGAGTAGAAAGAGAGAGAGAGAGAGAGAGAGAGAGAGTAGGGGGGATTATTCGATATGAGAAGAAGGTCATTCGACCAGCTCCTACACCCTGCTTTTACTGTATGTCTTTTCGTGGATTTTTGACACCGAAGGTTTCCTTGACACCAGTTAGACATTTATACCTGAACCCATGCTACACCACTTTTCACGGTTCTAGGTCACCTACCCCCAGACAACTACCCCTAGGACAACTAACCCCTAGGACTACTACCCCCAGACAACTACCCCCTAGGACAACTACCCCGAAGAACTATCCCCCGGACAACTATTACTCAGGACATCTACCCCCTGACGACTGCCCCCAGATGAGTACACCCAGACAACTTCCCCCTACGACAACCATCCTCTAGGACAACTTCCCCCGGACAACTATCCTATGGGGCAGTTGTCCTAGGGGTGAAGTCGACCGAGGGTAGTTGTCCTAAGGGGTAGTTGATTATAAGAAGAACCCATTTGTATTTGAAAATTGAAAACGGTTGCAAGATTTTTTCCCCGTACTGTCGAACTCCTTTCCCGTTACATGTCACAAAGTGAGGAAGGTGGTTTTCTATCATCTCTCAGATATCTTGAAGAGTTTATTAAATATTAGTCTCTCATGAAACATTGTTTAATGGGGAGACGAAGGGTACGTAACTGAGGCGGACATCTAATTTTCATATTTCATTAAACTTTTCAATCATAAAGATATAATTTTACACCAATCAAACCCTGTAAATAAACAAAATAATTATATTACAGACAAAGACAAAAATAATGCCATATTTGGTATAGAAAACCTTTTATTATTGATTGTCTGGTGAAACAAACCTTATCATCAAAATCATTATTTATAGGGCACTTACCTTTAACATCAGCCAAATTAATGACAACAACACTTCCAAAGCTGCAGTGATACATACAAAAGTATCACGATGAATCTACATGTATGTGCAATATGGTCTCTATATTGATTCTTCTATTGTCTTGTGAACGGGAAATGAATAATGTATATAGTTGTCAACCAAACGCAGCCGAAATTCGGCCCAGATAAATAGCTTGTGGAATATCATGTTCACGTGCTGTTTTGTCGACTTATTTGAGTAAATCTCCCTTTTACATTTCATTGCGCCATACATATCATGTGTGTTATATCAAACATTCAAATGCGTATTAGACAGGGTTTTTTTAGCATAGATGCCATGCATTACCGCAAAATGCCTTCCCCATAAACCAAAATAAATATATACCGTCTTGGCTGGTCTTCTATCTTATTTGGTTGACATATTGTGTAAATTGCACTTTGTGTTTGAAATACGGTGTATTTCTATTTCCTCTTACTTTTATCAGAGACGAATGAATGTGATTCTAACCCGTGTCAGAACAATGGTACATGTTACGATCTCATAGATGACTATAACTGCACCTGTGTACCTGGATATGAAGGCAAGAACTGCGAGAACCGTAAGTTGTTTCCATAGTATTTACGTTTTGTAAGGTTATCAAACATAATAGGTACCAAGTAAAGCAATCAATGTCTGTTTCTTTTCGTAGCAACAGAAATGTTCATGATACAATAAAAAAAAGTAGAAAATCATTCAAGTATACGTAGATATAAACAAAATAGATAATACACAAAGTACAAACAATGACAATGCAATATTTCGTATTTAAAACTCTTTATTGGCTATGCATTGATTGTTTAAGTTTTGATAACGTTGAATATACGTTGAACAACAACGTAAATTGTAAGTGTTGATAAAATGCTACCAATTGAGGCAAATTATTTAGTTCACACAAATTATGCTGTGGAAAACACCTTTTGGGTTTTTTCCCCTCTAGTCAAGAACAATCGATTAAAATATGCCTTCGTGTCCTTCAATTCCATAAAATCCATGATTCTATGAAGATTCATGGGAGAAAACCTGTTTGTACATATGTAAAATGAAATGTGTATATTTCCCCTACGACAACCATCCTCTAGGACAACTTCCCCCGGACAACTATCCTATGCGGCAGTTGTCCTAGGGGGGAAGTCGACCGAGGGTAGTTGTCCTAAGGGGTAGTTGATTATAAGAAGAACCCATTTGTATTTGAAAATTGAAAACGGTTGCAAGATTTTTTCCCCGTACTGTCGAACTCCTTTCCCGTTACATGTCACAAAGTGAGGAAGGTGGTTTTCTATCATCTCTCAGATATCTTGAAGAGTTTATTAAATATTAGTCTCTCATGAAACATTGTTTAATGGGGAGACGAAGGGTACGTAACTGAGGCGGACATCTAATTTTCATATTTCATTAAACTTTTCAATCATAAAGGTATAATTTGACACCATTCAAACCCTGTAAATAAACAAAATAATTATATTACAGACAAAGACAAAAATAATGCCATATTTGGTATAGAAAACCTTTTATTATTGATTGTCTGGTGAAACAAACCTTATCATCAAAATCATTATTTATAGGGCACTTACCTTTAACATCAGCCAAATTAATGACAACAACACTTCCACAGCTGCAGTGATACATACAAAAGTATCACGATGAATCTTACATGTATGTGCAATATGGTCTCTATATTGATTCTTCTATTGTCTTGTGAACGGGAAATGAATGATGTATATAGTTGTCAACCAAACGCAGCCGAAATTCGGCCCAGATAAATAGCTTGTGGAATATCATGTTCACGTGCTGTTTTGTCGACTTATTTGAGTAAATCTCCCTTTTACATTTCATTGCGCCATACATATCATGCAGTGGCGTAGACAGGTTCGTACACCTGGGGGGGGGGGGTGACTCAGGGGCGGATCTAGCTTTTTGCTAAGGGGGGGGGTTGACCAATAATGACGATGCGGAGCATCGTCCACGAGCCGCGAAGCGGCGAGCCGATTTTTTTTGGGTGTTTATTTGAACCCCGTAAGTGATGTTTTCCTGGCATCTATTAACACAATGGAGACCATAAAAAGCAGTGCATGATAACGTCTTTTTAAATCAAGTAAAAGTTAAATACACAGTTATATCCAGAGTTATCATGTGTTTAGTTAAGTTACCAGATGAGTTGAATATCTTCTCACAATATTTGCACTTGAAAGGGTTTCTCTCCAGCGTGCGTTCTTTTTTCTTTCTTTTTTTCTTTTTTTTGTTTCTTTTTTTCCCCTTTTTTTTAGTTTGTTTGTTGGGCCGCCCAAGGGGGGGGGGGGTTTAAACCCCCTAACCCCCCCCCCGTAGATCCGCGCCTGTTTAATCTTGTGGTTATCTTGTGGTTTCCAAACCACAAGATAACCACAAAATACTTGTAAGATTTTCTTTTTTTTACCGTCTGAATTGGCTTTTACCGTGTGAATGCGGCTAATAACAATAAACACAATTACAATAATGATGAGGATTATTATTATCATCATCATAATTATTTTTATTATTAATATTATAATTGTTATCATTATTATTATTACTATTATTATCATCATTATGACTTATTAAGTAAGCAAATATCATTCCCCAAAACCTGGGGGGATGATTGTACATGCCATCCCCCTCATCCCCCCCGTTGTCTACGCCCCTGATATCATTAAAATGCGTATTAGACAGGTTTTTATTTCAAACTCATAACGAAAGATTATGAAATAAAAGTCTTCATCATTTGATACCAGTTTTGTCATTTTTTATTTCCAATTTTAAGCCAAAAATTGGCATCGACCCCTATTCCTTAATATTCTTGTGCAAGAGTTTTTTTTAGCATATATGCCATGCATTACCGCAAAATGCCTTCCCCATAAACCAAAATAAATATATACCGTCTTGGCTGGTCTTCTATATTATTTGGTTGACATATTGTGTAAATTGAACTTTGTGTTTGAAATACGGTGTATTTCTATTTCCTCTTACTTTTATCAGAGACGAATGAATGTGATTCTAACCCGTGTCAGAACAATGGTACATGTTACGATCTCACAGATGACTATAACTGCACCTGTGTACCTGGATATGAAGGCAAGAACTGCGAGAACCGTAAGTTGTTTCCATAGTTTTTACGTTTTGTAAGATTATCAAACATAATAAGTACTAAGTAAAGCAATCAATTTCTGTTTCTTTTCTTAGCATCAGAAATGTTCATGATACAATAAAAAAAGTAGAAAATCATTCAAGTATACGTAGATATAAACAAAATAGATAATACACAAAGTACAAACAATGACAATGCAATATTTCGTATTTAAAACTCTTTATTGGCTATGCATTGATCGTTTAAGTTTTGATAACGTTGAATATACGATGAACAACAACGTAAATTGTAAGTGTTGATAAATTGTTACCAATTGAGACAATTTATTTAGTTCACACAGATTATGCTGTGGAAAACACCTTTTGGGTTTTTTCCCCTCTAGTCAAGAACAATCGATTAAAATATGCCTTCGTGTCCTTCAATTCCATGAAATCCATGATTCTATGAAGATTCATGGGAGAAAACCTGTTTGTACATATGTAAAATGAAATGTGTATATTTCCCCTACGACAACCATCCTCTAGGACAACTTCCCCCGGACAACTATCCTATGCGGCAGTTGTCCTAGGGGGGAAGTCGACCGAGGGTAGTTGTCCTAAGGGGTAGTTGATTATAAGAAGAACCCATTTGTATTTGAAGATTGAAAACGGTTGCAAGATTTTTTCCCCGTACTGTCGAACTCTTTTCCCGTTACATGTCACAAAGTGAGGAAGGTGGTTTTCTATCAATTGTCAGATATCTTGAAGAGTTTATTAAATATTAGTCTCTCATGAAACATTGTTTAATGGGGAGACGAAGGGTACGTAACTGAGGCGGACATCTAATTTTCATATTTCATTAAACTTTTCAATCATAAAGATATAATTTTACACCAATCAAACCCTGTAAATAAACAAAATAATTATATTACAGACAAAGACAAAAATAATGCCATATTTGGTATAGAAAACCTTTTATTATTGATTGTCTGGTGAAACAAACCTTATCATCAAAATCATTATTTATAGGGCACTTACCTTTAACATCAGCCTAATTAATGACAACAACACTTCCACAGCTGCAGTGATACATACAAAAGTATCACGATGAATCTTACATGTATGTGCAATATGGTCTCTATATTGATTCTTCTATTGTCTTGTGAACGGGAAATGAATGATGTATATAGTTGTCAACCAAACGCAGCCGAAATTCGGCCCAGATAAATAGCTTGTGGAATATCATGTTCACGTGCTGTTTTGTCGATTTATTTGAGTAAATCTCCCTTTTACATTTCATTGCGCCATACATATCATGTGTGTTATATCAAACATTCAAATGCGTATTAGACAGGTTTTTATTTCAAACTCATAACGAAAGATTATGAAATAAAAGTCTTCATCATGTGATGCCAGTTTTGTCATTTTATCTTTCCAATTTTAAGCCAAAAATTGGCATCGACCCCTATTTATTAATATTCTTGTGCAAGAGTTTTTTTTAGCATAGATGCCATGCATTACCGCAAAATGCCTTCCCCATAAACCAAAATAAATATATACCGTCTTGGCTGGTCTTCTATCTTATTTGGTTGAAATATTGTGTAAATTGCACTTTGTGTTTGAAATACGGTGTATTTCTATTTCCTCTTACTTTTATCAGAGACGAATGAATGTGATTCTAACCCGTGTCAGAACAATGGTACATGTTACGATCTCACAGATGACTATAACTGCACCTGTGTACCTGGATATGAAGGCAAGAACTGCGAGAACCGTAAGTTGTTTCCATAGTATTTACGTTTTGTAATATTATCAAACATAATAGGTACTAAGTAAAGCAATCAATGTCTGTTTCTTTTCGTAGCAACAGAAATGTTCATGATACAATAAAAAAAGTAGAAAATCATTCAAGTATACGTATATATAAACAAAATAGATAATACACAAAGTACAAACAATGACAATGCAATATTTCGTATTTAAAACTCTTTATTGGCTATGCATTGATTGTTTAAGTTTTGATAACGTCGAATATACGATGAACAACAACGTAAATTGTAAGTGTTGATAAAATGCTATCAATTGAGGCAAATTATTTAGTTCACACAAATTATGCTGTGGAAAACACCTTTTGGGATTTTCCCCCTCTAGTCAAGAACAATCGATTAAAATATGCCTTCGTGTCCTTCAATTCCATGAAATCCATGATTCTATGAAGATTCATGGGAGAAAACCTGTTTGTACATATGTAAAATGAAATGTGTATATTTCTCCTACGACAACCATCCTCTAGGACAACTTCCCCCGGACAACTATCCTATGCGGCAGTTGTCCTAGGGGGGAAGTCGACCGAGGGTAGTTGTCCTAAGGGGTAGTTGATTATAAGAAGAACCCATTTGTATTTGAAGATTGAAAACGGTTGCAAGATTTTTTCCCCGTACTGTCGAACTCTTTTCCCGTTACATGTCACAAAGTGAGGAAGGTGGTTTTCTATCAATTGTCAGATATCTTGAAGAGTTTATTAAATATTAGTCTCTCATGAAACATTGTTTAATGGGGAGACGAAGGGTACGTAACTGAGGCGGACATCTAATTTTCATATTTCATTAAACTTTTCAATCATAAAGATATAATTTTACACCAATCAAACCCTGTAAATAAACAAAATAATTATATTACAGACAAAGACAAAAATAATGCCATATTTGGTATAGAAAACCTTTTATTATTGATTGTCTGGTGAAACAAACCTTATCATCAAAATCATTATTTATAGGGCACTTACCTTTAACATCAGCCAAATTAATGACAACAACACTTCCACAGCTGCAGTGATACACACAAAAGTATCACGATGAATCTTACATGTATGTGCAATATGGTCTCTATATTGATTCTTCTATTGTCTTGTGAACGGGAAATGAATGATGTATATAGTTGTCAACCAAACGCAGCCGAAATTCGGCCCAGATAAATAGCTTGTGGAATATCATGTTCACGTGCTGTTTTGTCGACTTATTTGAGTAAATCTCCCTTTTACATTTCATTGCGCCATACATATCATGTGCGTTATATCAAACATTCAAATGCGTATTAGACAGGTTTTTATTTCAAACTCATAACGAAAGATTATGAAATAAAAGTCTTCATCATGTGATGCCAGTTTTGTCATTTTATCTTTCCAATTTTAAGCCAAAAATTGGCATCGACCCCTATTTATTAATATTCTTGTGCAAGAGTTTTTTTTTAGCATAGATGCCATGCATTACCGCAAAATGCCTTCCCCATAAACCAAAATAAATATATACCGTCTTGGCTGGTCTTCTATCTTATTTGGTTGAAATATTGTGTAAATTGCACTTTGTGTTTGAAATACGGTGTATTTCTATTTCCTCTTACTTTTATCAGAGACGAATGAATGTGATTCTAACCCGTGTCAGAACAATGGTACATGTTACGATCTCACAGATGACTATAACTGCACCTGTGTACCTGGATATGAAGGCAAGAACTGCGAGAACCGTAAGTTGTTTCCATAGTATTTACGTTTTGTAATATTATCAAACATAATAGGTACTAAGTAAAGCAATCAATGTCTGTTTCTTTTCGTAGCAACAGAAACGTTCATGATACAATAAAAAAAGTAGAAAATCATTCAAGTATACGTATATATAAACAAAATAGATAATACACAAAGTACAAACAATGACAATGCAATATTTCGTATTTAAAACTCTTTATTGGCTATGCATTGATTGTTTAAGTTTTGATAACGTTGAATATACGATGAACAACAACGTAAATTGTAAGTGTTGATAAAATGCTATCAATTGAGGCAAATTATTTAGTTCACACAAATTATGCTGTGGAAAACACCTTTTGGGATTTTCCCCCTCTAGTCAAGAACAATCGATTAAAATATGCCTTCGTGTCCTTCAATTCCATGAAATCCATGATTCCATGCAGATTCATGGGAGAAAACCTGTTTGTACATATGTAAAATGAAATGTGTATATTTCCCCTACGACAACCATCCTCTAGGACAACTTCCCCCGGACAACTATCCTATGGGGCAGTTGTCCTAGGGGGAAAGTCGACCGAGGATAGTTGTCCTAAGGGGTAGTTGATCATAAAAAGAACCCATTTGTATTTGAAGATTGAAAACGGTTGCAAGATTTCTTCCCCGTACTGTCGAATTCCTTTCCCGTTACATGTCACAAAGTGAGGAAGGTAGTTTTCTATCAACTGTCAGATATCTTGAAGAGTTTATTAAATATTAGTCTCTCATGAAACATTGTTTAATGGGGAGACGAAGGGTACGTAACTGAGGCGGACATCTAATTCTCATATTTCATTAAACTTTTCAATCATAAAGATATAATTTTACACCATTCAAACCCTGTAAATAAACAAAATAATTATATTACAGACAAAGACAAAAATAATGCCATATTTGGTATAGAAAACCTTTTATTATTGATTGTCTGGTGAAACAAAACCTTATCATCAAAATCATTATTTATAGGGCACTTACCTTTAACATCAGCCAAACTAATGACAACAACACTTCCACAGCTGCAGTGATACATACAAAAGTATCACGATGAATCTACATGTATGTGCAATATGGTCTCTATATTGATTCTTCTATTGTCTTGTGAACGGGAAATGAATGATGTATATAGTTGTCAACCAAACGCAGCCGAAATGTGGAATGACATGTTCACGTGCTGTTTTGTCGACTTATTTGAGTAAATCTCCCTTTTACATTTCATTGCGCCATACATATCATGTGTGTTATATCAAACATTCAAATGCGTATTAGACAGGTTTTTAATTCAAACTCATAACGAAAGATTATGAAATAAAAGTCTTCATCATGTGATACCAGTTTTGTCATTTTTTCTTTCCAATTTTAAGCCAAAAGTTGGCATCGACCCCTATTCCTTAATATTCTTGTGCAAGAGTTTTTTTTTAGCATAGATGCCATGCATTACCGCAAAATGCCTTCCCCATAAACCAAAATAAATATATACCGTCTTGGCTGGTCTTCTATCTTATTAGGTTGAAATATTGTGTAAATTGCACTTTGTGTTTGATATACGGTGTATTTCTATTTCCTCTTACTTTTATCAGAGACGAATGAATGTGATTCTAACCCGTGTCAGAACAATGGTACACGTTACGATCTCATAGATGACTATAACTGCACCTGTGTACCTGGATATGAAGGCAAGAACTGCGAGAACCGTAAGTTGTTTCCATAGTATTTACGTTTTGTAAGATTATCAAACACAATAGGTACTAAGTAAAGCAATCAATGTCTGTTTCTTTTTGTAGCAACAGAAATGTTCATAATACAATAAAAAAAAAGTAGAAAATCATTCAAGTATACGTATATATAAACAAAATAGATAATACACAAAGTACAAACAATGACAATGCAATATTTCGTATTTAATACTCTTTATTGGCTATGCATTGATTGTTTAAGTTTTGATAACGTTGAATAAACGATGAACAACAACGTAAATTGTAAGTGTTGATAAAATGCTATCAATTGAGGCAAATTATTTAGTTCACACAAATTATGCTGTGGAAAACACCTTTTGGGATTTTTTTCCCCTCTAGTCAAGAACAATCGATTAAAATATGCCTTCGTGTCCTTCAATTACATGAATTCCATGATTCTATGAAGATTCATGGGAGAAGACCTGTTTGTACATATGTAAAATGAAATGTGTATATTTCCCCTACGACAACCATCCTCTAGGACAACTTCCCCCGGACAACTATCCTATGGGGCAGTTGTCCTAGGGGGGAAGTCGACCGAGGGTAGTTGTCCTAAGGGGTAGTTCATCATAAGAAGAACCCATTTGTATTTGAAAATTGAAAACGGTTGCAAGATTTTTTCCCCGTACTGTCGAACTCCTTTCCCGTTACATGTCACAAAGTGAGGAAGGTGGTTTTCTATCATCTCTCAGATATCTTGAAGAGTTTATTAAATATTAGTCTCTCATGAAATATTGTTTAATGGGGAGACGAAGGGTACGTAACTGAGGCGGACATCTAATTTTCATATTTCATTAAACTTTTCAATCATAAAGATATAATTTTACACCATTCAAACCCTGTAAATAAACAAAATAATTATATTACAGACAAAGATAAAAATAATGCCATATTTGGAATAGAAAACCTTTTATTATTGATTGTCTGGTGATACAAACCTTATCATCAAAATCATTATTTATAGGGAACTTACCTTTAACATCAGCCAAATTAATGACAACAACACTTCCACAGCTGCAGTGATACATACAAAAGTATCACGATGAATCTACATGTATGTGCAATATGGTCTCTATATTGATTCTTCTATTGTCTTGTGAACGGGAAATGAATGATGTATATAGTTGTCAACCAAACGCAGCCGAAATTCGGCCCAGATAAATAGCTTGTGGAATATCATGTTCACGTGCTGTTTTGTCGACTTATTTGAGTAAATCTCCCTTTTACATTTCATTGCGCCATACATATCATGTGTGTTATATCAAACATTCAAATGCGTATTAGACAGGTTTTTTATTCAAACTCATAACGAAAGATTATGAAATAAAAGTCTTCATCATGTGATACCAGTTTTGTCATTTTTTCTTTCCAATTTTAAGCCAAAAGTTGGCATCGACCCCTATTCCTTAATATTCTTGTGCAAGAGTTTTTTTTAGCATAGATGCCATGCATTACCGCAAAATGCCTTCCTCATAAACCAAAATAAATATATACCGTCTTGGCTGGTCTTCTATCTTTTTTGGTTGACATATTGTGTAAATTGCACTTTTTGTTTGAAATACGGTGTATTTCTATTTCCTCTTACTTTTATCAGAGACGAATGAATGTGATTCTAACCCGTGTCAGAACAATGGTACATGTTACGATCTCATAGATGACTATAACTGCACCTGTGTACCTGGATATGAAGGCAAGAACTGCGAGAACCGTAAGTTGTTTCCATAGTATTTACGTTTTGTAAGATTATCAAACACAATAGGTACTAAGTAAAGCAATCAATGTCTGTTTCTTTTTGTAGCAACAGAAATGTTCATAATACAATAAAAAAAAAGTAGAAAATCATTCAAGTATACGTATATATAAACAAAATAGATAATACACAAAGTACAAACAATGACAATGCAATATTTCGTATTTAATACTCTTTATTGGCTATGCATTGATTGTTTAAGTTTTGATAACGTTGAATAAACGATGAACAACAACGTAAATTGTAAGTGTTGATAAAATGCTATCAATTGAGGCAAATTATTTAGTTCACACAAATTATGCTGTGGAAAACACCTTTTGGGATTTTCCCCCTCTAGTCAAGAACAATCGATTAAAATATGCCTTCGTGTCCTTCAATTCAATGAATTCCATGATTCTATGAAGATTCATGGGATAAAACCTGTTTGTACATCTGCAAAACGAAATATGTATATTTGTCTCATCTGATTCAAATTTTACGGAGACAAACATATATTATGTTACGTTGGCAGCCGGGGATGACGAATTAGATTTGAATTTGACCAAATTTGATGCAATTTTTTAATTTTTTTTTATTTTAGCAGATGTTTCTGCATTTATTGATAAATCAAATATAAAACATTCAAATAACAATACTAGTATATAATATAATTGATTTACATCAAGAGTGACAACTTAATACACACAAAATAAAAAAAAATAATAAAAAAATGCATAATTGAAAGCTTGAAAGTATGGAGGTAAGTAAACATAATCAAGATAAATGCAGAGGCCAACTATCATAAGCAAGGAAGCTTGAGTCGATAGCAGCCGGGAAGGGGGGGGGGGGGGGGGGGTTCATGGCGCTGTTTTAGGAGAATGTAGGGGAATAGAGAGTCACATATAAAGATTTTGTTCAGAAAGTATCTGAATAAAAAGTGGAAAGAAATTAATAAAAGAAAAAAGAAGAAAAATGTGCAAGTGTGTGCAAGTGGGTGTGTGCAGGTGAAATAAGTGTTCGATTCGTATTGTTAATGAACTGGTCATCTAAACTTAATTTAAATAAACGATCAAAACCTCTGAGACCCTTATGATGTTTTTGAATATGTAGATATTAAATATTTCTCCATCGATACTTTGAATGAATAAAGAGTTGCAGAGTGTTAATATTGTCAGGTAAAGCATTCCCAATGTCTGGACCATGATGTCTTATCGATTTATAGGCCATAATAATTTTGGGGTTCGTTAAGTGGGATAAAAATGTATATCAATATTGTAAACAAAAATATTTCGAAATGCCAAAGGTATAGTATTTATCCAACATTTATACATAAAGATTGCAGTTTGAAAACTGTGAATGTCAGCGATTTTTAATGTTTTTAGTTTACAAAATATTGGATCAGTATGGGCTAAATAATGTGAATGTGTACAAAGACGAAGTGCTTTCTTTTGGAGACGATATATTAACATAATTTTCATCTTACTACTATTACCCAAACTATGTTACAATGAGATATGTATGACAAAATGAAGGAATTTGTAAAACATAAATAGTGACTTTTGTGATAGATAATATTTTAATTTATATAAAATGCCTATGCTTCTCGAGACTAGCATGCAAATGTTGTTAATATGACTATTCCAAGTTAGGTTTGAATCAATCATTACACCTAAGAATTTTGTAACTTCTTTTTCAATTATGGGCATGTTATCTATAAAAATATCATAATGAAGTACATATTTAGAGTGTATGTTTTTGAAATAAATACAATTAGTCTTATTAATATTTAAAGAGAGTTTATTGGATTTGAACCAAGATGATAATTTATTAAGTTCTAAATTGAGGGTTGTAATAAGAATGTTTAAGTCTTTATGCGAATAAAATACGTTGGTATCGTCTGCAAACAGAACATATGTTAGGAGTGGTGATGCATTAACAATATCATTCATATATACTAAAAACAGTAGGGGACCTAATATGGAGCCTTGTGGTACTCCGCATTCTATGGTGGAAATATTAGATGTTGTAGATTTAAACATAACATACTGATGTCTATTACGCAAATAGTCTTCAAACCAAGAAAGTACAATCCCTCTAACTCCATATGCTTTTAATTTATGTATTAATATACGATGGTCCATGGTATCGAATGCTTTCGATAAGTCCATAAAAAAAACCTACAGTGTGTTCTTTTTTAGAAAGGGAATCAGTTATTTTGTCACATAATTGTAGAATAGCATAATCAGTAGAGTGGTTCTTTCTAAATTCATATTGATTCGAAATTAAAAAGTTATTGATATCTAAGAAAGAATATAATCGTTTATATACTATTTTCTCTAATATCTTTGAAATGCTTGGTAGTAAAGAAATTGGTCGGTAGTTTGAAACTTTAGAGTGATCATCCTTTTTATATATCGGAATTATTTTTGCAACTTTTAGTGGGTCGGGAAAAACCCCTTGGGAAAGAGATAAATTAAATATGTGTGATAACGGGGAAGCTATGAAGTGAATTATTTGTTTTAATAAAGATTCACTTAGCTCATCGTAGCCACTAGATTTACTGCTTTTTAATGAACAAACAATTTCTAAAATCTCTTGAATATTTGTTGGATTAAAAAATAAGGATTGATTAACGTTATTATTTAAGTATTTGAAAAAAAAATCATTCTTTTCATTGATTATTTTGGAAGCTAAATCCGGTCCAATATTAGTCAAGTATTTATTGAATGCCTCAGCAACATCATTTGGGTCTATGTGATGCCCATCATCATTAAATTCAATATTATTTGGAGTATCCTTTTTCTTCCCCAAAATGTTATTAACTGTTTGCCATAATGATTGATTATTATCTTTATTATTTTCAATTTTATTACCATAGTATAATTTGCGTGATAAACGAATAATTGAAGTCAATTTATTACGGTACTTTTTATATTTATTTTGATTTTCGTTTGTAGGTGATCGAAGTGAGATTTTATATAAACGAATTCGGGTAGATATTGATTTAAGTATACCTTGAGTCGTTTATTTTTCTTTTTATTTGACTTAATTCTTGAGAGGGGCACATTTTTATTATAATGACAAAGAAGTTTGTTTATAAATTTGTCATATGAACTGTTCACATCCCTTTCAAAATAAATATCATACCAATCTTCTTGACTCAAGTCTATCTTTAAGGATTCAATATTACGCTTGGTTTCTTTACGTCGTGTTGTATGTTCTTTATTGGGAATTTGTAGGTGTTTACCATCAGGACCTATCGTAAATATTGGTAAATGGTCTGAAATATCATAGTATATTATTCCATTCTGTTTATTATCTAATACGTTTGAGAAAATATTATCAATTATAGTATGTGTTAAGTTTGTAATCCTAGTTGGTTTATTAATGAGAGGTTTAAAAAAAAATGAAGATAATAAATTAGTAAAGTGTTGGCCAAGAACGGTAAAAGGTAAGGATATATCGATATTAAAGTCTCCCATAATATATACATCTTTATTTTCTCTAGAAATAAATTCAAGGCATGATTCTAATTCATCAAAAAATGTGTCGGCTACATTGTTAGGTGGTCTGTACATTACCCCAACGATTCTATTCTTATGTTTATCATCAATAATTTCTAAAAATAATGTTTCTATTCCTTCCAGTTGAATATCATGTCTTATTTTAAATTGTACATCATTACGAGTATAAAAAGCGACACCTTCTCCCTTTCCGTTTTTACGGTCTGAATGAATAAATTCATAATTCTCAATGTTGAATATTGGAGAAGAAGTTGAGTGTAACCAGGTTTCGGTAAGTCCTATCAAAGAAAATGAAAATGTGTTTAGGATAGATAAAAATTCTTCAAAATTATCGAAATTCTTTTGTAAGCTTCGAATATTGATGTTTAATAAACTAAAACAGTGAAGGTTATTATTGGGTCCCGTTGAATTAAAATTTGAATTAAATTCACTAGTAGTATAATATTTACTCTGGGGTTTATAAACTTGATCATTCAGAATATCATTTAAAGCCATTAAGATTAAAATGTGGTATTGCGACCAGTATAAATGAATACTATGTGTTTGGTGCGTGCATGTGCGTGTAAGAGTGCAAGTGCATTTATAATGGGTGTCGGCAAAAACCAACAAAATCAGGGGGTGTACATGATGTTCACTTGTGCGTGACTATCAGACAGAATCGGGGCCGGTTCAAACGTGGTCATTAATTAAAAAATAAAAAACTTAGAAATTTGTAATTTAAGAAAGTTTTATTTTGTTTTAATGTTTTGAGTATTGTTATCGTTTAAATTTACAGTGATGAATTGTTTTCGAAACGTACTACCTTTAAGTTACAGAGAAAGGTGGGTAAGCCTATGTGCTATACCTAAGGGGGTGAGAAGGAAACAACGTTCAGCATTAAGGACTGGATTATGATTGACATGAGAATAGGGATTTACAGGGGGGTATGATAATACCTTGGCTTTAGCACAAGTAATACAAATAAGCAATAGTTAAGTTGAAATAAAATGAATTAACATACATCATGCCGATCCACGTCACACCGACGAAACACCGCCAGACACCGGCGAACCAGCATACCGCGGAGAGACCGCGCCACATGATAACATTAAGTCACGTCATCATGGAGCGCGAAATACCAACGATACGCCAGCCACCAGACCAGGCAACGAAACGCCAGAGCAGCGCAAACGCTACTTGTTGGTCCCTCCCTGACAACCGGCATGGCAACCAGTCCAGCGGGTGAGGGCCGCTGATCATCTAACCGTGAACCGCGGGCCACGCCCACAGACATGGTCGCCACGCACTACGTTTAAAACAAGAAAAACCATCAACAAAAAACAAGCAATAGTACACTAGTTTCGTGAAATCGACAATGATATAAAGAACACCGAGCATGTTATTGATAGCCAAAATGATGGCGTTAAACGGACAAAGTTCTAAAATTGAAATTGAGATGTGCAAGATCACAAAGTTTCGTAACGAAATTGAATGCAAAAAGTGTTAAAATGGACGGGAAAACTTATAATATAAATTTTAAATATCGCAAGTAAATTGTATACATTGCCAAAGTAACTGACGGAACTTAAAGGGAAAGTCCACCCCCAAAATAAGTTTGTTTCGATAGAGGCAGAATAATAAGAAAATCAGGTGAGTGAAAGTTTGAGCAAATTCTGAATGAAAATAAGAAAGTTATGAATAATTGAAGTTGTGATCAATCAAATACAAATTGGCAACTCTGTCACTTATTATACGAGCTCTCCTTCATTTGCTTTGTGCATAATATTCCATAAAATCATGTTTTCTTCGTTATTGATGACGGAATATATATTTGTTCCTTGCAGGGGGAGTATAGAAACATATTTGCAATTATTATATTTAGGGTGCATGTATGGTTGAAATTTTTCTTGAGGGAAAATGAAAATTTTGGATTTTTTTAGTACTGAGCAAATGGAAGTTGAGCTCGCATGATACGTCATAGAGTTGCCAATTTGTGTTTGATTGATCACAACTTCAAAAATCCTAACTTCCTTATTTTTAATCGGAATTTGCTCAAACTTTCACTGACTAGTTTCTCTCATTTTTCTACTCCTATTAAAACTAACTTAATTTCAGGGTGGACTTCCCCTTTAAGATGTGTTCGCATGATTCTTAGTTTTGATTCGCGGAATCACGAAATGCGCATAAGTCCGTTGCTCATGAGGCGCTATCTGCGTATACCAACGACTGCGTCAGCGACCATTGCAATCTTTTGCGCGCCAATTGAAATTAAGTTCAAACTTCGCTTTGAATCGCTGTTAATTCGCATCACAGGCTTAATTGGCTCATGTAACAAGCGCGTAGCCAGGATTTCATTTTAGGGGGGGGGGGCGGTAGTGAGCACGCGAAGCGTGCGAATCACTTGAAGAGCGCGCGAAGCTTTTGATAATTCCTGATATACAATTCGTCGCTGTTTTCACGAAGTGACGGTAGTGAAAAAAAATTGCATTCACTTTGCGTTACGATTTTCCTCAACACCGTCACTTCGTGAATTTTGGCAATTACAAGTAGTGGGCTACTTAAGTAGACAAATGCTCATGTACCTGCTAAAGCTCATTTTATGTATGCTATTACCAAAGAAAAAGTAGATGTCAGTCAGTCACACAATAGTGTCTGACATTTTTTGAACCTTGGACCTTCCGTTTACGGGACCACTTCTCTACCACTGAGCCGTTACACTTTTTCATTTTGGAACCATATTTCTGTGTCATTTTGTAAATGATTTTTTCAAAATCAGTTCATATTCTTATTTGTCGTGTGTGTCCAATTTAATAAAAAAAGAAATAACAGAATCAATGAATGGTGAAATATAATAATAATAATCCTTGTTCTTCTCACACAGTGACCGTACAATCTACCGGTACTTCAGCTTCTAACCCTCCAACGGAATCGACGTCTTCACCATCATCAACCCCCTCATCGACAGAACCTGGTAAAAGATGATTGATTATTCCTGATATACAATTAACTCAATTGGCATAATGGCGATGATGATGATAATGATAATGATAATAATGATAAAAATAAGGATGGTCATGAAACTACTATTATATACTATAAATACTACTACTACTACTACTATTACTACTACTACAACTACTACTACTACTACTAGTACTACTAATGCTACTATTACTACTAACAATGATAACAATATTTAGATAGCGATCAATTTAAAATGAAAAAGATGATCAAGACCTTTACCTAATTGCTATGTAAGCATGTATGCTGCATATAAGTAACCAACCAAGGGACCGACGGATTTAAGTCCTGTCCGAGGTAACAAGTCATGAGGATCACAGCCTTACCTTGGTTTTAAAAATAAGAAATTCCGTTTACAGGACCACTTCTCTCCCATTGAGCCGTTGCACTTTTTCATTTTGGAACCATATTTCTGTGTCATTTTGTAAATGATTTTCAAAATCAGGACGTATTTTTATTTGTTGTGTGTGTCCAATTTAATAAAAAAGAAAAACCAGAATCTATGAATGGTGAAATATAATAATAATCCTGAGATTATCCTTGTTCTTCTCACACAGTGACCGTACCATCTACCGGTACCTCAGCATCTTACCCTCCGACGGATTCGACGTCTTCACCATCATCAACCCCCTCATCGACAGAACCTGGTAAAAGATGATTGCTTATTGCTGATATACAATTAACTCAATTGGCATAATGGTGATGATGATGATAATGATAATGATAATAATAATAATGATGATGATGTTAATGATAATAATAATTATAAGGACGGTCATGAAACTACTATTATATACTAGTACTACTACTACTACTACTACCATCACTACTACTACTACTACTACTACTACTTAGAATGATAACAATATTTAGATAGCGATCAATTTAAAATGATGATGATATTGACCTTTACCTAATTGCTATGAAAACATGTATGCTGCATATAAGTAAGCAACCGGCGACTTTAAGTCTTCTCCCAGGGAATTAGTAATACGGATCAATGCCTTACCTTGGTTTCGACCCGGGACCTTCCGTTTACGGGACTACTTCTCTGCCTCTGAGCCATTGTCTTCTTCTTCTTCTATGTGTCATACCCTGAGACGTTGGCGACCATGGAGTGCCACAACTCTCTATCCCATATTCTATGAAGTAATTCATTCTCCCCGAGATCAATTCCATATTCAGAAATTCCACTCCTTAAGCTACTCATCCACAGAATCATCCTTCTTCCCTTACTCCTACTCCCCTTGATTCTTCCAGTCAGTGCAAGATTTTCCATACCATTCTTCCGTATAACATGCTCCAAGAAGCTCAGCTGTCGACCTCCTATATTATTCACAAACTGTCGTCTTGTTCCTGCCATGGCAAATACCTCATCATTAGAAACTCTTTCTGTCCATGAAATTCTTAGCATCCTTCTCAGGAACCAAACTTTACCACTTTCCAGTCGCTTTCTTAGGTCTGATGTCAGGGTCCAAGCTTCACACCCATAAAATAGAACTGAATACACGTAGCAATTGAGCACGCAGAGTCTCGTTTTCATCTTCAGCTTCTTATTCTTTAGGATGTTTTCTAACTTGGAGAAAGTTGATTTTGCAAGTTCAATCCTTCTCTTGATTTCTTTCTCGCCTCTTGCATCGTCTGTAATTGTAGTTCCGAGGTAATTAACAGAGGTGGCTTGCTTTATTTGATTGTTGTTGATCTTAAGAGAGCATGGTATTCCTCCCTTCTTTGAAATTACTATGCATTCCGTTTTCTTGTAATTTAATGATAATCCTCTCTTGTCACTTTCTCTGACGACAACATCCAAAAGTCCCTGCAGGTCCTTCTCTGAATCTGCGATTAATATAGTATTATCCGCATACTGTATGTTTGTACCTTTTCCTTTTGACACCATATTTTTGTGTCATTTTGTAAATGATTTTCAAAATCTGTTCATATTTTTATCTGTTGTGTGTGTCCAATTTGATAAAAACAGAAAAAAAAGAATCTATGAATTGTGAAATATCATAGTAATCCTGAGATAATCGTTGTTATCTTACACAGCGACCGTACCAACTACCGGTACTTCAGCTTCTAACCCTCCAACGGAATCGATGTCTTTACCATCATCAACCCCCTCATCGACAGAACCTGGTAAAAGATTATTGATTATTCCTGATATACAATTAACTCAATTGGCATAATGGTGATGATGATGATAATGATGATGATGATGATGATAATGGTGGTAATAATGATAATAACAATGACAATAATAAAGATGATGATGAATTTAATAATAATATTAAAACCAATAATGATGATGGTAATAATAATAATAATAATAATGATCGTGTTACTACTACTATACTACTATTAATACTACTTCTAGTACTATTACTTAAGGTATTACTATTACTACTAATAATATTAAAATAATGATAAATAAGACATGATACAAATAATGATTACAATAATAATATCAATAAGAAGAACAATAATAACCATAATCATAATAATAATCATAATGATAATGATAAAAAAAAATTGATAATACTAGTGATTATATACAATAATCACAATAATAGTCATGGTGAAATTCATTTAAAAAAAGTGATCATACTAATGATGATGTTGATTGTTTTACCTTACTGCTACATATAAATGCATGTATGCTGCATGTAAGTAAGCAACCATGTGACTGACGGCTATAAGTCCTCACCGATGGACGCGGTAATAGGAATTGATACCTTACCAAAGGACTCGAATGAGCGCATTGACTTAGATTCGAACCCTGGACCTCTGGTTTACGAGACAACCGCTCTACCACGGAGCCATCGTTCCTTAAAGTGACTCAGTATCATTGTTGGAGGTTGATGAAAAAATTGCGGAATTTTTGTATAAAATGCTACTTATTATATTCCTCTTAATGTTACTAACTCTCTAACATGCAAAAAAAACCTAAATAAATTCTCAAACCACTAAGATATCTATGGTTTTCTTTGAAGGCGTCACTGTGCAACGCCCTCTAGCAGTGATCAACAGTAAATTCTCCCAACCATTTTTGAATTTTCCCAACCGTTTTCCCATGAACAAAAGACATAAAAACAGGCTTTAAAAAACCTTTCAACACTAAAATGTCTGGAATGCTATATAGAGCCAATGTATTGCCTTAAGACGATTTACATTCCCCTAAAATGTAAATAAATTGTAATAATACAATTGGCATAAGGAGAGGGAAACAAGTGAAACATCTCCCAGAACATGTGAGAGATGCTTGTGAACTCAGAAGAAAGGCTAGGGTAACTAAACTGAACTCCCCTCATAATAATCATAATATTATGAAGTATCGGCGCCTTAACAAAAAGGTTAACTATGAAGTCAAAAAGTGGAAGAGGGAGACTCTCAAGAAAGAAGTAGAGGAAATGGAGGCAGCACAGGCACGAAATGACAGCCATGAGCTATTTAAGAAAATAAGAAAACTAGCTGGTGAGAAGAAGAAGATACAGCCAGCAGCCAAGAACAAAGAGGGAGTCCTCAAGACTGGTCCAGGAGATGTTTTGGATTGTTGGAAAGAACATTTCAGCACCCATCTTAATACAGAGTTCCCGAGAGACACCAACACACTTCGCAATATACCTGAACCTCCTCCTACTGAAAACCAGACTTCACCTTTTACCATAGAAGAGGTTAAAGCTGCGATCAAGGCTCTAATATAACAAAGCAACTGGATTTGATAACATAGCAGCTGAAACACTGAAAGCTGGTGGTCCAGCAATGGCACAGATCTTGCTGAAGATCATCAACACTGCTTTAACGCAAGGCAAGACACCAGTTGAGTGGAGCAAAGGCCTTATTACCCCTGTGCACAAAAAGGGGGATAAACTTGACCCAGCTAACTACCGAGCCATAACACTGCTATCAGTGCCGGCTAAAGTTTTCTGCAGGATGGTGCTCAGTAGGATCCAAGGGACAATTGAAGAGCATTTATCGGAAGAGCATTGTAGATTCCGGAGCTCCAGAGGAACCACTGATGCTATTTTCATTGTCAGGCAAGTGCTGGAGAAGGCCAAAGAGAGACACATCCCCATCCATTGGAATTTTGTGGACTTCAAAGCAGCATTCGATACTGTCTGGAGGGATGCTTTATGGAAGTGCCTTCTTTCAATAGGAGTTGAGAAGAACCGACTTATAATATTCATGGAAAAGATATACAATTAATACTTGTAAGACTTAGAAAATGCACATTGAATAGTAAGCTTAGATAATTTCAATTTAAAATGCTTTATAATATTAGGTATACTCAATTACATTTATATACATTTAAGATGGTTAATAGTAATTTTTGTTCTTTTTGTGGTAAATATGAAGAGACTTAATACGAGCATATATTTTGTCTTTGTGAGAAAATAAAACCAATTTGGGAAGAGTGGGGGAATTTATGTAATTTAGTAGAGATTACAAATATAAATTGGAAAGGTATCCATGTAGGGATAGTTGAGTTAAACATAGTGAAGGAACAGTTATTAAATCATATCATAATTTTGATAAAATATATGATATTTATAGATAATAAAATTAGACAAAAACCACCAACTTATTTGGAGATTAAGAAAAGATTATTATAAAATAGAAAGGAGAAGAAATTAGCTGGGGACCGAGGTACACTCACATATCATTTTAGAAAGTGGGACAATTTAGAATAGCTTCGTGCAGAATAAATAAATAAGGAATGAAATGGACATGGCTGATATAGTGGTCGAGATTCTCACAAAATGTAGGCATGTTTTTAGTGGATGTTTGTGTGGGTGTCTGTGCACATGTGTGTATGTGTGTACGTAATTGTGTGTGTGGGTGTGTGTGTGTTCTTTTTAAATATTTTTTTCAATGTCTTTTTATGTTCATGCCTTTTCATGCATGCATGTTTCATGCTTTATTTGATGTAAATAGTAAAAGTTAATTTGTATTATTTAGATGTGAATGTAAAATGATATTCTATAAAATCATATTAACATGCAGATTAAAAAAAATAATAATCGTGATATATACAATTAATTCAATTGGTATAATGATGATAATGATGATGATAATGACTATAATGATACTACAGTAAGAATAATGATATCCAATTTACACAAACCTTTGTGAAGTGCTTTTCACATTGTGATTTAAAGCTAGAGATTCATCTGTAGGTCTACTATTTTGACGATCCTAAACAATCACGATATGCGATCATTCTTTATAATCATCTTTTCCTACCTATTTTTAGTCATATTTTTTAAAACTATTTCAGACATACATGTAATTATGTTGAATAATAAAAGCAAATAAACAGAGTGTAATGTTTCAAAGTTTAAGTTCAAAGCTATTTTTCTCTTAATTGCAATTCATTTATTTTCCACCTGTGGCATCGAACAGCCTGGTCAGCACGAATGTCATTAACATAATTTACTGCTTAACATTCATAATCTTTCAGCGATAGTATGTACAGTGCCAATGGATGTAACTTATTACACGACCTGTGAGGGGAGCGTCTTACCTCTGACAAAGTGTAGCTTCAAATGCAGCGAAATCGGTAACAGTGTTCTAACGATCACGTGTGAAACTACGGGATCATGGAATAAGGGACTTCCTAAATGTGGAAGTAAGAATTTCAAGTTCAAAGTTATCTCTTTTATTCAATTCATTTATTTTCAACTTTGTGGGATGGAACACTCTGGATATCAATGTCGTTCATATGGGGTACCGATTTTTTGCAATTCAAATATATTTAAGGAAATAACCTATACAACAGCTTTGGCAACTCTCGTGGAAATAAAATACAATGCGAAAGGAAACGTCCTAACCAAGGGACTATGTACTTGGCTATTAATGCATTATGGTTTTATGGCTTCGAGCCTGGGACCTCTATGTTACGGGACTCCTTCTCTGTAAGATTACCACGTACTCATCGATATAATTATCTCACTCTTTTAAATAACATAATCTGTCAAATGAAATTAAGAAGGTGAATTTTTTATTTTTTTAAATGCAGAATGAAAATGATATGGGCATAATAATTGCTTAAATACCCGATGTAAATCAGTTATTTGTTATTTACGGTAGTTGTCAAAAATAAACGAACAGGAATTAATTTTTATTTGGGCTCAATTTATATGGCTGGGATATGACTCATCAATATGAATTTACCCTACATAATTGTGAAGAAGGGGTATGTCTATTGTGAAATTGAATATTAAAATTACGTTTTTCCCAAATTTTGAACAGGTGTAGGCGCAAGTGCCAGGGTAGTCATGGACGTACGAAGAAAAAGACGCGAAACTTTGCCCTTGGACAATCAAGATGTTCTAACAGTCCAGGAAACGGTAAGATACTCATGGTACACCAAAGCCTCCTCAGTTGCAATTATCTAAGAATATTCATGTCCGGGACATCCCAGTAGACCGACAGCCAATGAGACCGACAGCAAACGAGACCGACATAACACGAGACTTAAAGCCCACGAGACTTAATACAGCCCACGATACTTACAGCCCACGAGACCGACATCACACTAGACCGACAGCACACGAGACCGATATCACACGAGACTTACAGCCCACGAGACCTACATCACACGAGACTTACAGCCCACGAGACCTACATCACATGAGACTTACAGCCCACGAGACCTACATCACACGAGACTTAAAGCCCACGAGACTTAATACAGCCCACGAGACTTACAGCCCACGAGACCTAAATCACACGAGACCGACAGCACACGAGACTTACATCACACGAGACTTACAGCCCACGAGACCTACATCACACGAGACTTACAGCCCACGAGACCTACATCATACAAGACTTACAGCCCACGAGACCTAAATCATACGATACTTACAGCCCACGAGGCCGACATTACACAAGACCTACAGCCCACGAGATCGACAATGTCGATTAAGTGAATTCTCCACTAAGTTGTCAGACATGTCTGTCTAGTGGACTGTAGGGTCTAGAGGGCCTTCTGACTATTTTGTAGAAGGACCAAACTTTTGCTTATGGAAATCGCTTTGGTAAACTTCCTAAAAGACAATGCATGTGAAATATGATAATTCAGTTTTTCATAATTCAACATAATTTCATAACATAATTTAGTACGGTATAATGACATTGCACACGTCTTCTCTCTTCCTTTTCCAATCCAACACATCAACTGTACCAGTTTGAATCGGCAATACTCAGGATCCTTACAACATATTTTGTTAACGCGACAACCACCTATGCTCAGAGTTTGTCAAACGGCCAGATTCAAATGAACTTACTCATAGGCGTTATGTACACGCCAGATGTAACTGTTGAAAGTTTGATAGAACAGATCGAAAGAGCTCTTCTAGCAGTGAATGCATTCAGCGTTATTTCAGTTGATGTAACAGGTAGGGAGCATAAGCCTACATTATTATTTATTTCTTAGTCTGTGTATAATACTCTTGATACTTTCTAGCAACACTTTGCTATTTATTTTTTCTGTGAGAATGCTGCATCCTCTTTCCTGTTTGGATGAATTATTACCAATAAAGAGTAAGAACTAAATGAAAAATTGAGACCAAGGAATAACAAAAGTTTAACGTTTATTTACCTACATTTATATTCATATAATTCCTTTTTCCCCTTTCATTTAATACAAAAAACGATAACACCGTGAACGGCAAGATATTTTCAAAGGAGGACAGCTTGAAGACGAGCCCCAAATCTTTTTTTTCCCTCCAGAATATCCATACACAAATTGCAAAAGTGTATGTACGTCGTAAATTGCAACATTTTATTTTTTTATTTCGTTTGCATGCGAATCATTCAAACTGATTATCAGATCAATCAATCAGACCGCACTGATATGTCAGTACTTTCACAGTTATTATATGCGGTATATAGGCCTACCTTACATATAACATATATAAACATGTCAATTCCTCACAGATCTGGACGCACTTTGTTCCTCCACGCCCTGCGAGAACAACGGCGAGTGCCAGGTTGATTATAACACCTTAGATTATACTTGTGTGTAAGTCTTTTTATTTATGTGTGTCTCTAGTCATTATTAAATTTAGACCCAGGAAACACAAAGCCTTATCAGAAAGTTTGCAAAATCTCATTAGGACTTTAAAACGAACATTTAGTAACCTTCCATTGCGCATTTCCCACTTCTGGTTTTGATTGGTTACATCAGCCACTGGGTTACATGACAGCCTCTTTATCACCTATAAGGAGTAATTGTTGGTAAACTTACCTTGTTATACCAAGAAGGTGACACAGTGGAGTTATTTGATTGGCACGTCAAGAACTAACGTCCAGGAAACGTTTTGTGTTCCTGGGGATATTACGTACGACTTCTCTCCCTTATTGAAGGTCTGATCCCCCGGAAACTCAGGGGTTTTAGGCGTTTAATTACGGTCACATGAGCATATTATGATTCATTTGTGATACTAGCAGGACACTAATTGGCGTGGGGTCCAGGGGGCAGAGCCCCCAAAAGCTCAGGGGTTTTGGAATAACATTACGATCGGATGATCACCCAGGTGCCCTGGACCAAGCCCCCATTAGCATGCGAGTGGGTATCACGGTGATACGAACGGAATATTTACTTGTAAATGTTGAAGGATATTATGCGCGGGAGCGTAGCAATCGAACGAAAAGATTTTGCATTTTACTAGCCCACATACTATTCTCTTGGGCCCTCCAGAGCCTAAACGTGTGTTGCAGTCTTTAGTCAATAATCACTGTACATTTTGGGGGGCACTTTTTCAAATTTTCCGGGGGGGGGGGGTGGGGGGACTATCCCCCTAAAATAAATGAGGGGGGGGGGACTTGTCCCCCGCCCCCCCCCCCAAGATCGCCGCCCCTGGTCACCAGTATTTCAATATTTTTTCTGCCATGATTGTATAAGGAAATGATTGCGTTTTGTCCAAAATAATCACAGATATTCATATTTTCGGAAATTCAATTAATATTGAGAGTGAAATACAAATTAAATAAAGGCATATTTGGGTTCGTAATATTCATTAATGTCATGAATTCTTTATCAAATGGAATATGTATACACAAAACTAAATTGATTTGAAATCAAGTAAGAATTCTTAATAAATATACTGTAAAAACTATTTTCATTGTTCTAAATAGAATAGTTAAAGAGATCGACAGTTTAATATACATACTTCACTACTTAATTTTGATGTCTATAT